TGTTTACTTTGTCCTAATACATTTCTTTATTTTATAACTGAATTGTTTTAAAACTTTATTCAAATATTGCTTTATTGTTGTCTTGAAGCACATTTTTTAATTGTGTTTTTTTCCATGGAAATAATTGTAATTTTACTTTAAATTTAGTCCACAGATGTGTATTTTCATTCTTTTATGATTTCTTCCCATACTTTTATCACTGTATGGTAGTTTATAAGCGAGTTGTCATTGAGTTAGTGGGGAAATAAGCTAAATTTAATCTTTCAGAACCCAACTATTGAATTGAATGATTGAAACGAAAAGAAACATAATCAGAGTGATATATAGTTGATAGTAAGATCAGATAATCCTAATTATAGACGATTGTGACCAATATCTTTTTGTGTTTTATGTTTTTAGCTATTCTAATTGAATGAAACGAAATATTCGATTCCTTTACATACTCACCTACTGTGTATAAGTATATATATATCTATGTATTTTTTAATATTCTTACGAATCAGATGTAAAAATAATGTAATATAGAAGCAAACAGAAATATTTCACAAAAATAAAACAATCATTCTAAAAATTGTGGTCTGATTATCGGCAACACAGTAAAACTTGGCATTGTAGCGCATATTAAACATTAAAATCTTATGGTAACTAAAAGATATCACTGTTATGACAATACTTAATATAGAGAATAGTGTAGATTGTATTCTATGTTCTAATATTCCTTTACTTTCTTCTTCCTCTTACATGCACACACACACACTTAAATCGATTGTGCTGGTTACTGTAGAAATGTATGTTTGTATTTTTTTTTGCATTGATTTCATTTATCGTACTTTACATTTTTTCTGAATAAAAAAATTTAATCCTTGATGATGAATTTGATATAATACACAGTGTAGTGATTTCAAATGTAAACCAGTCGTTGTTATGTATGTCTAACAATAGTAAATTTAATGCCAACTAGATGTTTCAATGAGTCATATTTCTTTATTTATTTACTTATTTCTACATTATTATTATCAGTCAATTTTTAATGAAATGACTAACTTATGGGTCGTCTGTTGAATTAATTAATTTTCGATTATGTTGTCTATCATGTTGTAAACCAACCTGGGTGATTTTACCGATTTCATGCTTACTCTTTCCTACATTTACTTTAAGACTTCGATACAAGCTGTTATTTTATTCTGTCTGTTCACATTATCTTAATGTTTTTGAAATTTTATACGGGTAGTATGACTATTTAAAAAAAAAACGTATTTGATTTCATGTACATTAGATGTCGGTTGTAATTCAGTGGAAATTAGAGATATAGGACTCAACCGATAAATGATTTAGGTCATAGGTTCAAATTCAATTTCATTTCGTTGTATCATTATCATCAAGTCATATTAGAAATTGTTAATTTTTTTTTTAATAAATATCAATTATCTAGTTTTTAGGTTATTTGTACAGATTTTTATGTTTTAGTTTATTTGCATGCTCTGTCTTGTCCTACTTCCTATGAAATAAGAAAATATTTATAATTATTTATGATAGACGGGTATAAGTATTAGATTTTTTAAAAATGTTTATTTCTTCATAAACCTGATTTTGTGTATCTTGACGGTAGTTTTGTTAACACCGTTGGATGCCGGCCCAGTGGTCCGATGGTTAGGCGTTCGCGCACAGAACCAAAGGTCCCGGGTTCGAATCCTGCGAGGTGCAGGAGTCGTGGATGCGCACTGCTGATGAATCCCATACCAGGACGAAACGGCTGTCCAGTGCTTCCAGGTTTCTAATGGTGGTCTAACAATGATTGATTGATGATTTCAAATGTGTAAAAACACAAAACCTTCAAAACTCTGCCCGAAAATTTTGTTATCATAAAAGTCAACGTAAAGCATAGAGAAACTACAGATTTGTTAAAACCAACCACTCCACATCGGATGGAACCTATAAATTTGAGGCCTCATTCAATAGCTTCAGAATATTGCGTTGAAATCCAACTGACTTGTTTTTCTAGTTTCAGTTATTTGACCAATATAATGTTTTCATCAACTATTGTCATCAGTAGATTAAAGTTACCGTCTTGGCATAGTTCACTAAAAGTTCTACATGTAATACCATACTATTTTTTAAATTGATAAATATACACCATTTAGAAGTCAAAAACTTGAGTTTGCGATCGCTTTCCAATGATTTTTCATACTGATGTATCAGTCGCTATTGCAACCTGTCGATGTTTTTGTCTTATCTTGGTTTTAAAATTCTTTCTTTGTTTAATGTGAAAGAAAGTTGAATATTTTCTAAATATTTGATATGTCTACATTAAACCAATTTACTCTAATCTATCACAGTATATAAAAGGTTGCTTTCTTGTCTTTTCTGAAAATTGTTTGAGGCAGGAAAGTTTTTTCTGAATTATTCTTTTTCTTTTCTATTCAAATGTACAAAATTGAAACTTTTATTGATCAATGATCATGATTAGCTTGTTTATTTTGATTGTAGACAGTTTATCTTTGGCATCATTCTGATTTTTACTGTGTAAGACAAAATTTTCAAATCGAAAGTCGCTTAACTGTTGGTTTGTTTTTAGTGTTGTATTGATTGAAAATGATGTTTTTTTCTTATCTGTCACACATGTGTGTGTTTATTGGTGTGTTTGACTACCATTTGGTAACATGAAATGATGTCATAAATTTTGATTGATTAATACGTAGTGTTTTTATGGTTTAATCATGGAGTAAATAACAATAGGGCATTGAACTGTAATCAGTGAAATTCTGTTATGATGTCTGTCACAAGAATAGTGTTGCGTCATGAATAATATGTTATTGTTTTAGCCAATCAGCTGACAATCATAACAAGTACTAGTTGTTGTTGTTGATGATATTCTAGACACAGTTTGAATCAGTTTTTATCGGTATGTATTCAGCCTGTACTGACTAACTGGCCACATCTTTGAGAATCGTTAACTGAATGTGCCTACATTCTAGTATCAATGTTTCAATCGAGAAAATCTGCATATGTATCTGCATATATATGCCGATAAAAACTAATCGAAATTCAGTATTGAGTATCTATTATAAGATAACTTGAACATTGTACTCATTAAACAAGTTAGTGGTTATCTGGCATCAGTAATTCAGTGAGTAATGCGTCGGCCTTTTTTAAAAATATATCCTATTATAAGAAAATCGCTGAGATATTTAGTTTTCTGGTCATCAATTAAGCACTTTTCTCATTGACAGTTTTTACATCTTTTCTGTTTGATAAGCAGACACATCCAATCCACATAACAACTGGTTTTGTTTACGAATTTGAGTAAGAGAACGTCATAAAGTTCTTATCATATTGAATGTATTCTTTTCAACTACTTGTAAATCTTGTTGGAAGCCAAAGTTTAGCGTTACTTGTTGATTTATGTTGTCTATCAATTCACATAAGGTTTGTAATCTGCTGATGGGAATTTAGCGCACATGTAATGTATTTATCTGTTTATACTGTTTGTTTATGATGATCAGATTATTTTTATTTAAAAAATTTATATCGGATTCATTATAATGTTTTATCAAATCAGTCTTATAGTCTATGCATTTGAAATGTATTTAAAATTGCTAAAAATCTATGGTGAATACGTATAGATTTACAGGATGAAATAAAAGGAGGGGGCGTTGAATGTTGAACATAATATATATGGTATTGTTTAAAAGTAAAACATGATGCCAAATTTTATTGTGGTTTTCATTAAAACTCATCATTGTAAATTGCTATCTCTACATCAACAAAGCCATATTGACATATGATAAATATTATTTACTCATTTCAACTCTTAAAAGAGAGATTGTATGACTGTAAAAATAAACACAACAAACATAGTTGTTTCTTCTCTCATTAAATAGCCCTTTTTTTTTGAAGGATGATAAAACTGCAGTAATCACTCGTAAATTGAATGATTCCGAAATTTTATTGATTTAAAGTAGACGCAATTCAATATTAACAGAGAAGTGTAGTTGTTGTTTGCAGTGTAGAATTTATTCAAATCTAGTTATGATTGATGATTCATAGTTCAATTTCGGTCATTAACATCTTCATTCAATCATACAGATAATCAATCACATACTTGCAAGCTTCTTAATTATTCTGCCCAACACAAAAGTACCAAGTTATCTATTCTCACAAAAGTCAATTGTTTCTTGTTCTTTGCGCCGTTATGTTGTTGTATCATTTAGTTGATATGGTCGGTACTATTCCGTCTTTTTATCAGTTTTCCTTAAACACCATTACCCTGTAATAGTGAATATGATCTATTCGAATTAAGGTTACTTTAGTTGTATGAAAGATAGTGATACTACTCGAATCCCTAAACCGAATTAGTTGTGACGTTGAGCTATTTACTTATTGACTGAAAGCTGAGCGCTCTAAGCACTGAATTATCTCCTCGTAGGAGACATCAGATCCTTCAAGATTGCTAATAACTTTCGATAACAAGTACCAATTAGTCTAAAACTTATGTATCCAAAGTTTCAAACCGATTTCCTTCATCTACATAACATCAAACATATGGCACGAAAATACCAAACCATAGATGATCAGTAGCTACATTGCAACTTGACTGACTGAATTTGATTAGTTTCACCGACTAGGCAACATGATATTTCATTTCAGTTATGTGGTTAATTAGAATATCTCCAAGATATTTTTTAACGTACAATTTAAAGTTGATTAAAGCGGAAAATAAGATATACCAAAAACTGTTTCCGCCATAAAAGCTTTTTTAAGTCATTATTTTTGCAATTAGACCTTGTCCAAAAATAAAGACATAATAATTTAACCATTTCTCTAATAGTCTAGTTATGATACTACAGTGCATTAGTTTAACTGCAGTATTTTTGTTAAAGTAACCGGCTGCATTAGACAATGTATTGATTAGTTATTCTATTTTGTTGAATCGTTTTACCTGTTAAATTATAATCCTAACTGTAAAGTATTTTTATCCTTCAAATTATTATTATTTCCAGTCAGGTCATCAACCAATGGTTCGATTATGGAACGTATTAGATCATTGTCAATTATCTGAATTCGGTGGTCATCATTTTCGTGTGGTCGCCGTGCGTTTCAGTCCAAACGATCAATATTTAGTGAGTGTTGGCAGTCAAGAAGATCACACTTTGTATGTATGGGATAGACAGAGTGGACAACGAGTGGCCAGTGCAAAAGTTACAAATCGGGTAAATAGTGATTTTTATTTTAGGTATAATATATTTTTGTTTTCTTTTGTTACTGACTAACGATTCATAATAGTTCGAAAGTTCTTGTAGGTTAGTCTGTAATTTAAAAAACAAAACATCTCTTTGCATTTTAATACCGTTTTAATTTTGTCCATTTTCCACTGGTAAACATAACTATCATCTCATGAATGAAAGTGATTATTGTTTCTAAGTTTACAGACAAGGATAAACTTGTATGACTTCTTTTTCACGACAGAATTTCCGATAGCTGACGTCCCAATCAAACAAAATGCACCGTTTGATGTTTCTGACAGTTGAATAGCAAATAAATCAGTTACCAATTGTGAGATCTAATAAGTATTGAAATAGTTCTAAAATTATTACAATTATTACACGAATTAGGATTGTTACCATTCTCGAACCAACTCATTTCAGGTTTAAATGTTTAAACAGTGTAAATTCAATCATTTATGATTTGAATAAATTTAATTTTTGCGAATGTAAACTGATTAAGTAATTTGGCTACTGTTAAATTAGTTTGTTTGTCAAGATTTGTGCTATTTGAACAGTCCACTAGTTATTCGTGGCATACCGATAACCTCTGAGCAACTTTGTCTGCCTACCTTTTGATTCATCATGAATCCATCTTCAAGACACTAAACAATTAGGGATATCAGCTCTGACAACAACTAAGTTTTAGTTCAATTGACCATATTATCAACTTCGGTCAGTTTTTAATATAATATATTTGATTTAGCCCTGCACATGTTTGATGCCACACACCACAACTTTATTCTAGTACTTCGACAATATTCTTATCATGTGCATTTCTATTTTTATGTATAGCAAACCACTAAGTACGTACTCATGTACTGGGCTTTGAGTCACATTACATGTGTAGGGGCCAATGATATTAACTGAATTGATATGGTGAATATAATTGTTACATTGAACGAAGTTCACACCTGTCATCCTGGCCGAAATTCATATTGAATTGATATAAAAAATTTTGACCTAAATAATGTCGTCTTTCTGCCTCATCATATCAATACCTGACTGTCCAAAGCGATGTAGATCAGAACTGGAACATTCAACTTAGTGAATGAAATTCAAGCACTTGGTTGCTTCACGAATCTGAGAGCCAATCCGTGATATGTCTGCTGGAGTGCTTTATTTATTAGCAAATAATAAATAACCTAGAAATTCCCTGAAAATGAATCATTTAAGCAAAATCTGAATAATTTATTCACTCTGTGTCAGCACAACCACTGATTTTATTTAACTTGGTGGTCATTAATGTAGGTTTCGATAAAATCATAAATAAATTAGTATTTTGTGATGATTGTCAAGTTTTCTTAGTGTGTAGATCACGAACCAATCTTAGCTAGGTCACCATGAAACCTTATAATTCTTCTAAATGAAGACCTTTCGACTCTCAGCGCAGAGTTTGAATTACTTTTTCAGGTTAGCGTTTTTTAGCAAGTTATTTATCTACGGAACGAAGTCGCTAACTTCATGCCCAACCATCCTCATTTATCCGGGCTTGGGATTGGCAATAACCCTAAAAGGACTCCTAGCAAAGTTCTCACCGTCTTGGTAACTACGATTTATTTTAAAATTAGTCTTCACACTCTCGAGTAATCATTCCATTCAATTCTAATGATTACACATATTTGATTTATTTTGACAGTTCCTATTGATTAGGGCGTCGTCGTCGTTGTCGCTCCTTCTTATTTACACATTCACATATACTCATTTAAAGACATATCTTTAATTAGTGTTACTTCTGCATCAAGTTGACAATGGGTGTGTTTACATCATAGTTCTGTTTTGAAATAAAAAATCAGTTAATTTTAGACAAAAAACTATTTCTAAGAAATACGTGATTTCATTATCTATAGTCTTAATTTTCCTGATGCTTATAGTGTATAGTTAGCTTCTTACTATTATAATTATCATTATTCTGCGTGTATGTAAATTTATTGTCTCGAACAATGTAATCCAAATAAACATTGTCTCTTGAAATGAATAATCAGTAATTTTCATGAGATTTGCCGATGATTGTGTTTAATATTTCTATGCATGTCAAATGTGCCACTTTTTTTTTAAAATGAAATATTCTAGTCGGTACAACGTTTACTACATTACTTCACAATGTAATGAATAGTTTGTAATGAAATTGGGTAATAATATGAAAACATCTAGTTATGTATATTAGTGTACAGTTTTTTATGAAGATGGCTTTGTTAATCAGTATAAAACTGTATAGATAATACATGGATGTTGTATATTGATAACTAGTTTAGACTTATCATTTATTTTTGTTGCTTGTTTAAATCATTCCATTGATGTTTAGAACTGCATTTGATCAGTCTCTTTGGCCATTTGTGCATCCTGTGTGGATTGCTTTGATTATTGCCTTCAGGTTACCAGCTTTATTAGCCGAGGTGGATAGTAGTGGCTAGCAGTGGAATCCAGGACATGCGTTTCGTCCCATTTGGGTACAGTATGCGCATATGCTGAAGAAACCGAGCAGTCGCAGTCCCTTAACATCAGTGGAAAGATTCAAACAATCAATAAAAATCAATTATTCTTCACCGCATCTCTCTATCCACTTAACCATTCGCTTGCGCAATATTTGTATTTTTCGTATGATATGAATTTTTCAACAGTTGTCAGTTAACTAAACACCTACAATACAAATTAATATAGCAGCTGTTGATAACCATCAGTTGTGAAAAATTTATCAGGAGATAATGAAATATTTGTATTGTATTCTAATTGTATTCTAATATCTTCACCTAATCTAGATATTATTAAGTCGGATTTGCCTCATTTGGGTTAATAGATCAGAGCGGAGATTCTTAGTAATTATAAGCACGATTAAAATCCATAGCATGTCCAACCAACGACTCGTTTTATGCAACTTCCAGGAACGTAAATGCTACTTAGTTGAAGATTTTAAGATATTAAAGATTATGGTTTTTGAATTTATCGAATGAAAGTTTTGAAAACGACTGAAATACTATGAAGTCAACTTGAAATATCTTATCAGTATATTTCTTTAGTTCTCATACTTTTGAAATTCATATCTCTCCTACTTCATTTTTCGCGACTTTTTTCTTCTATTGTTACACAATATGGAAATTTGAACTAGTGACTTAGTTTACTTCAATTATTTATGTCTGAATTTATTGTTGATGTGATATTGTTGTTAGTATCAGTTTTATTTTTTGTTCAATATTTTCTCAAATTTACATAGTTCATTTTGTTAATATGCATACATGTTATGTGAAATATGTTGATAAAATGGTTCTACACTGAATATTTTTCACTGATATACATACACATGTGTATCTCTCTGCGAAAATAGAACAAAAGTAGTTTGTGTGAGAGAAAAGTCAGTGACTAATTTTTGAGTTTTTGTTTCGCTACAAATTTGTACTTATTAAGTCAATGTATAAAGTACAAACTTGTGTACTTAACTTGAAAGCCACAAGTGATATTACCTAAGTGCTCAAACCAAGATGAATGCAATCTTATTTAAATCTTTGACTTATTAGCTGGAAATTGAATACCTGCATATCGCTTTGTTTACTATGTCACTGGTTTTTGTTGTCTATTACATGAAATAAAATTGTCAGTATTTTTTGAACTCATCAGTTATTATACTTCAAAATATTATCTAACGTTACATGAGGTTAGACATCATACGTATAGATGTGTATCCACCGATTAGAAGCAAGTTTTTCGTGATTTTTATAATTTTCACGTTCAGTAGTTTCACATCTGACCTTAAGATAGCATATGGAATTAAACCAATAATTTTGATGTGCATGAATGAATCTAGAAGAATGCAGGAGAAAGGAATAACGAAAACATAACCCGGTAGACTCGCTAAACATACAAATTATAGTTATGTTATAGTTCTGTCAAGGCGATTGATTAATAAGCTCATAATTCAAAAACCAATCTAGTTTGGTTATCGAAATCGAAAATAAATAGACAGGGGCGTTTCGAAATGCATCAGCATATAAATGTGATATAAATTGTGTTAAACATGGAGTAATTTTTTTTCAGATTAGTTTCACAAACAATTGTAATGAACAGGCTTAACCTTGGAAATCATAGTTTATGACCGAATCACGTGAATAATTTTTTAATCCAATGCTTCTGTGTTTATGATATTTTGATTTCTTTTGAAGTTTGTTCTTCTTTCTGCGTGTCTGTTTTCATCTACGCCTGTTTAGTATAGAAATTCGATGCTAATCTGATAAGCATACGTTTTTGAAAAACAATATGAATTAAAATTCATTGATACAAATTTCTTCTAGTATTTTTGACGAAAGCAATGCCAACAAACACACTCAACTGTGAATGGAAATTGTTCAATGTGTCAACAGTTGGGATTACTTCTTATTTTTCTAATGTTACTATCACGTTATTATTGATAAGAAATAAAAATCAGCATTGATTTGTTAATATTCTAAACACCTTTTATAAATGATTTGAAATAAGTGCTTTTAAAAAACAGTTGGGTTTTGCATCATAGATAATAATGATGATGAAGTAGTAATTGGTTTATCGAGTGTGGTTTTGTTTAGTCGGTCGGTTTTAAGCATTATTTTGTGTGTCATGTCTGGTGATACTAATTGCCCATCTAAACTTATGTACATGGAGCTGGATGCAAACTTGCGATTGATTGGAGGAAGGTTGAATGACTTAACCACTAGACTACTGCATCATTATGGTCTTTAGTAAGACAGAATTTGATTTTTATCGCTTCATAAAATACTGGCGCTTTTGAAACACTCAGTGGTCAAGTTCAGTGTAATCATCAACATGTAGTTAATGCTTCTGTTAGTTGCAGGTTACTATTCAGAGGTAGGTAGTTAAGGAATTGATTGTCCCTGTATATCATCATCCTGTTAAATCTTAAATTCTTATATTTTTGCATATTTCACATTTATGGATTTCATTCACACATTTTCCATCTATATTCTCTATGTTTGGTTTTCTCCTCTTCTTCTGATTATTTCGACTTATTTGCTCCATCTTGTAGTGAAGTTTGACCATTTAAACTGAAACATACTTTTAGCTAGTTATATATTGTGTACATAACCGGTTGATTTTTAATGTAATTCAGTATTTTCTAACTGCTACTTACAAAAACCTAGACATTTTAGTTCCTCAGAACTTGTTCTTTAAGTGTGATTGCAGTTATATGTACAAAAATTGTTATGCAAAAGGATTTTGATGAGACGATAGAACGAATAGAATGCCAACTAATAAATAAATGCAATGATATAATTTGACTGAGTGATGGCTACTCATGAAACTTTATGATTAGAATTCAAAAACAAGATCACTAGCCCAATGTGAATAGATTTTTCGTATAATCATAAAATGAACTTCATCAAATGTCATAGTCGTTTAGAGGAAATCCACCTGTAGATCACTCATCACTCAATCGATAGAAAATAATTTTTGGGCATCTTTTAACAAAGTGACAATGATTTATTGAAGTTACGCTAAATTGTTTGACATCTAAATTATTGACAATTAATTCTTCTACTTGTATCTAGTTCAATGAAAGTCCACGAATATCAGTCTGTGTATTCTATTTATCAATTTTTCGGTTATGCGTTACTCTACATCACAAAATTTTTGAAACCAGCGACAAAATGGTAGACTCATTGTTTGATTATTCCATAAAGACAAATTTGATGATTCGAACAATTTCTTCACTTTTAAAGACGAGCGCAACTCACTAAAGAAGAGTATATTTATGTTATTCGGTATTTAGGGTAAAAAAGTCTTGTGTGTTTTTTCAAACTAATGTTAGTGTAGTCGGTAAAATTACATTTTACCGACCGAGTAATGAGATTTAAGTTGACGGCCTTTGGACTTTTGTGCGAGATTCAGGACATACTAACGGATAGCGTATATCTAGTTAACGGTTAGGAAGCAAAACCAATATCCTGTTAATAAAATACATCAAAAGACCTAAGTGTAATGCTGCACGCTTCATAAACTTTTTTAAAGATAATCTATACGATTCTTGAAATCAAACAACTAACTTTAACTATTTATCCACACTAGGAATTCGCTTACTTGATTTTTTATCATCACTCCCATCACTTTTACGCTTATCTCAGATTCTTAATCTTAATCTAATCTCAGCCTCTCTAGGCCTATGTGTTGGTTTATACCACCAACATCCCTCATAACTGTAACTCAACATTGCTTTCCAAAAGTCATTTTACGGGTTATTGATGGTCATCCCTATGCTACTTTCAGTTTAGCTTTGTGAATCATCCAGTATACATTAGTCGTTCATCTGCCCATCTGTTGTGTTATTCATCCAAAATTGTATTGGCTAGCCTGTTTTTGTCCTACGAATTCTGTACAATTTTTAATTTATAAATCAAAACTACAAGATCTTATGTAGTACTAATTTTTTAACTGGTTATGGTGGTATATTGAAATACTATAAAAAAATATATAGTGATCAAAATACCAACAGTGAAAAATTCTGTCCTAAATTTAAACTCATTCAATCTACAACATTCATTCAATCAAACATTTAATATTATAATATCATACAATTATTGGGATTTTACAATTCGTTTTTTTACATGTGGAATCCAATGTTTTGAAGTCTGTCTATTCGAAATCTGGACTAAAGTTCCAATGGCGTTCCATTATAGATTTTTCTTTAATTGCATTCAACTTTTATAGGTTCTTTTGTTTCTTTATTCTTTTGTATGAATAATAGATTTATGGAGTTGCTTTCAGTCCAACGGGACAATTTTTTGTTACAGTTGGTGTCCGTTATGTTCGTTTTTGGTATTTAGAAAATAAACGCAATAAAGTGAGTATTTTTATCGAATTGTACAATTTTGAATTTTAAAATGTTTTGAATAAATAAGTGATTTATTGATATGTCAATTACATATTTTTGTACTAAGCCTTGATCTACACTTGAATTGTATGAAGAGTAGAGGTTGTTGGTCGGTTATTCAACCCAACACGGCCACTCAGAGTAGAAGATATTCGTAGGTTGCTTGTTTTCTATCACAGGTGTCTTCGAAGCATTGCTTGTATATCCTGGGACAACCGAGTGAGCAATGCTGCCATTAGGAAACGAGTACTAGGTAAGGATGGCAGATCAATAGACGAAGTGTTGAAACTTCATCAGTTGAGGTGGTTGGGACATGTGTTACGAATTCCCAACCGCCGGTTGTCTCAACGAGCTATATTTTGCGGTGTAGGAATAGCTTGTATGAAAGCTAGGGGCGGCCGAGTCAAAGCATGGCAGAAATCCATGAATTCACTGATAAGTGGACTAAGTCATGTCGGTAGGTGTCGACTACCTGGTTGAGGTCTGCTAGATGATAATCGATGGTTAGAGACCTTGAATGACATGGCTCAAAACCGTTTGCAATGGCGCAGGTATAACCTGAACTGTACATCTTGAATAATATGTTCGACCCCTAATATTCTCGATTACGAGCAATTCTTCTATTATCTCCACCTTTACGGGATTCGAACTGGCAGTTGCGTCTCTGTGCTAATGTGGTATGGCAACCTGAACTGATGTACTTACGCACGAAGTTGTAGGCTGCTGTTGATCGATTGATGTCCAACTCGAAGCAACTGAAGATATATCCGAACCTGTAACCTATCAATGGAAAGCTATATATTTTAACTTGTGAGCTATCATTTCACTAAAAAATTATAATGCATTTCTCATAATAACTCACTCCTTAAGAGTTTCATGTTAATATTATAAACCAGCGTAGCTTATTAACTGAAAGATAAACAACACTATTAATTTATCGTATTTTACAAATGTTGTAGTTCTTGCTTTATTTAAATTTCTAAAGAGAACTAATTACAAGAAAAACATTGATTGACCAGTTACGTAATTATGGGATTTTTTTGAATGAATGAAAATACTCCTCACTGATTAACATTACATGAATACTAATCTCCCTAAATAATCTTGACTCAAACTTACTTATTGAAATGTAAATAATAACTGGAAGTTGGAATTCTTTTTAAAAATTCGGATTTATTTGTTGTACACTAATTTTTTATGACTAAATAGTGTCTCAATGTGTGTACGCGTTAACGTTAGTTGTATAAAAAATTATAAATAGTTTGTTAAATGCTTGTTTTCACGTTAAGATAGTTTATTACTATTATAATCATCATTATTATTATAGGTTTTTGTTTACTCTTCACGTCAATAATTGTAAATGAAGTTCGATGTAGACTTACTGTACACGAAATCGTTAATTAAGATCTACTCGACTACTAGAAGAGTATAAATAAGCAAACAATATGAAGTATTAAATTAACTAATCAATTTCAATGTAAATATATGGAAATGGAACTAGAAGAAAAATCCTGCAAACCTGCTACATTTACTGTTTAATGACTGCGTTAGATTCGATGTTGGGCTCATTACTTTAGTGGCTGCGTTGAACTTGAAGTAGGGCTCATCATTTTAGTGGCTCGCGATAACACCGATATTTACGATTGATCAAGTATGCGATGAAGTAAATCTTTCCCACAGTTTCTGTATATCATCATACTTAGTCGAAACCCGTTTGTACGACGGTGATAATAAGAACCCAAATACGGATTCGTTTGGATCAGTTTATTTCAAGCAACCGTTCATCCATTCATTTAAGCAGATAGACGAGAATGAAGAGCTTTGAAGCAGAGTAAAGCAAAGTGGAAAAGACCGGTGAGCCAACTCCATGACTAATAAGCTAGACTTGTAATAAGCGAAGTAAGCGATGCACACACACTTGTATAAAAACAATCAAGATAAAAGCTAATAGTTGGCAAGGTCAGAAGTCTTGCTAATAACTTGGGAAGAATGAATCGACTAAATTGTCAAAAGTCTTAGACAAGCCTTGTGGGCTCGATATAAGGTTAAACATAGTACAACTGATTGCTCATAAGCGTACAACAATAGTAATCTTAAAATTGTAATGGTACTGAGTAAAATAACTGAAATTTCTATACATAGCTACTTGTTCAAACGTACGTAACTAAAAGTTATCTGCATACTTTGATGACGAGCGCCTTAGTAACAGTTATTAATCGTTCTGATGAGAATTTCTGACTATTGCTGTTCGATCCTTATCGAATAGGAGATAGTTATCCATCACAGGTAAATAAAGGTTACCCAAACTCGTAAATTGGTTAAAGTTGGGCATGAACACTGTTGATACTGACTCAGTGGTTTAGAGCGCGAAACCGAAGGTCTTAGACCCGATTCCCTCTTTTGTGGAATCGTTGGTCTGTTATGAGGAATTCTATTTGAGATTAGACAACTGTTAAGTGTTTCCAGGTTTTCGATAGTGGTTTAACCAAGATCGACTTGTTATGTAAACGGTAGATTCGTCAGTCTTGGCAAGTCTTCTAGATTCACATAATAACTGTGCCTTAAATTATTCTAGGGATTTATACAACTTTCTCTCATTTTATTAATCTCTTAATTGACGTTACCTGAACCAAAATGGGTAACTTCCTCGAAATGATTTCACTGCAAGCGACATCACATACTCTGTTATTTTGAAATCACTAGGAATTATTCTTAACAACAAGCTATGCGTTGAATTTTCTAATTGTATCGCATTTTGCTTAAATTTTCTACCTTGAATGTCTGTCATTGGATCATAAGCTTTATTGAAATTTGAATAGAGAGATTTTCTCAGTTTATGCGATTGTGTGGATATCTATTAGCAATTAGGGAACATTAGATTATTGTCTGTACATTTTGGCATTTCTCATCAATACATATAATGATGAATTCGTATTGTTATAAAACTTGGAGTCTTCATCGCGGCAAACATACGATACTTGTAAATTATCGAGTTGAAATTTAATTAACTATGCATCCAATATCAGTCAGTTCGCAATTGTCGTAGCAATGTACCGTTCGACCAAACATCATATCATTATAGAACAAGTATTATTACAGAGAGTGAGATAAAATGTACGAGGAGATGGTGAATGAACACTCATATATAAAATCACTTTAACAACAATACAAACTTTGTTTCACTTCTTTTTCCTTGACCTGTTTTTTAATTCTAACCTATAGATTCGTGAAACCTTACCACTACATGGAAGAAATGCTATTTTAGGTGATATGTTCAATAGTGTATTTACTGATGTATGCTGTGTTAATTCATCGTCGTCGTCGTCGCCGTCACTGTCTTCTGTCCCTCCTCCTTCATCATTATCCTCAAATTCGTCTTCCTCTAATCCCGGTTCTATTCAAATTAATTCTTCCAAAAAATTGAAATCTTCAGCTGGTGGAGATCAGGAAGATGTGGCAAATAATAATAATAATAATATTAATGCCAATAATAATATCAGTAATAAAACCACAACAACATCATCATCATCTCCAAGTATTGGCTCAACAGCAAGTACAACATCTACTTTAACATTAGTTGTAAATACAGCTGGACGTTTAATACAATTTAATGGTCAAAGAGATCTAGACAAATGGGTTGATTTGAAAGTGAGTTATTAAACGGTTCGTTTGTATCTCTCTATCGCTCTTTCTCTCTCTTTCTGTTTTTTTTCTTATTTTGTACTTGTTCATTGTGAATGTTGTTGTTTTTAATTTGTTCATTCATTCAATATTAATAAATTGTTTGAACCTAGGATTAGATTATCAATCAATAAGTATATGGAAATTTATGATATTCAGTACTAGTGAATTTATTATTATGTTTAATTAATGAAAAAATATTTATTAATGACGTCAGAAGATAATTTTCCCCTAAATTAACACTTTTTCTCCTTTCCCTATTGTGTAGTAAGTAAACTAGTAGTTTGTTTTATTTTATGAAATATAGTTGAATAATAATAGTAAAAGACAATACAGAATTCCAACTATTATTCATCCAGGTAATCAATGTATAAAACCCTTTATTCATGCTATTTTAGTGTCAACTCTGTATACCAGTTGGCACGTAACTGTGACCGTTTTTCACTTTCCTTACATTCAATCGTCAATAGTGTATTCATAGGTTACTTCATCACAGAATTTCTTGTATAGTACAAATTTAATGATTTCGATCTTTTTGTTATTGAAATGTTTTGTGTTTTTTTTTAAATTTCAACCATTATTGACTGTTAAGTTAATTTAAACTAATTTTTACTAGATATTATTTAGCTTAAGCGTTACTTTTGCTAAGAATTAACTTCAGCTGAAAAAAACCTGTTGATAACAAGAAAATGAAATCATATCTGTTTTATTTTTAGTCTGATACTCTTCAGTAATATGCATAAACAATGTCGGGTGAAGTTAAATATTGATGATTGAATCCGTCAGACCACTAGTTTAAGATCTAACAGACCACATTTACAGTTTCATTCTCTTTGGATTGTGATATAATTTGCATCCGCTCTGTATCGTAAAGTCATCATCATTCTCAACTTGTTTAACTCAATGAATGTCACTTTCATGTTTTCTATCTTATTAGATGTCATGAGTGCGTTATAATACTGGGGTGAGATCCCGAATTTGGGAAAAATATCTTACCTACTTTCATTAATTATCCATTTGATGTCAGTTTATAGTAGAATTCACTTTCAAAATCTAGCACCGATATTACAGAGAACGGTCCGTGAATAAAAATTGTATACACCATGTAATATGAAACCTGTGTTTTTGTTTTATCTCATATCTTATTTAGTTTTACAGGACCTTGTCAATGATTTTCCTATATATTATTTTATTTCTATTGTGTTGAAATCATTAATGTCAGTGGTAAGTGTTACTAATCGTCTTCAGTCCGTTCAACAACATAGTTTATTTCTGGTTGAAATGTTTCGCATAATGTATGATATACAAAGAGGGATCGGTGAATTTTACTCAATTCTTTGATCGATCTGGCTTCTTAGTCGATAACTTAAGTTACGTGACCATTTAGCATATTTTTCCTATGATTAGAATAAAAGAATCGCTTTCACTTATTGTCTGTTTATGTAACTCCTACGCGCATATAACTCCACTAAATGTGTTACCTGATTTCATTTTGTATGTCACTTACACATATGCCCGTTGTTACTGATTCAAATGACAATGTATAAAACATAAATCATTTTGGAAAATGCATATATTCCATATAAATTATTTTAATAGACTGCATGTTTTAAAGCAAAGAGGATTGTATGAACTATGCGTGGTATGGATTGTTGCAGTGATCATTCCTGATGCATGTGTATTTTTATTTGTTTGTCACTCCTAATAGTAGTATATGTTATGTGGATTTATAGGACGGTTAATCGTTGACTGAGTTTATATGGGGATACATTTATTAGGATTAATCGATAAATAGATAGAAACACTTATTCACATATATGAAAGTGTGAATAGCCAAAAGTTACTTAAAGGAATCATAGAATTGAAAGTGACACATGTTTACCTGTCCAGATAAGAATAGTTTTACGTAAGTGAATCACATAAGGCTGTTGTAAAATGTGACTTTCTGTAAGAATTCAATTATAACTTCACTGATATATTTCCTAATTTAGATTGGCTATTGTATTAAAGTGGTTGTACGCTGCGGAGCCTGAAGAAAAGAGGTGCTGATAACAATTATCATTTCCAATCTCCCTCTTGTTTTAAAAAAAAATGCTCTATCAGAAATTTGAAAATGAATTGAACCTTAACACTTATAGACATCATTTTGTAGCAAACTGATCTCTAATCATTGGTGTCTATGGCGATGCCATTATTTGTGGTTTTTGTAGCCATATTTCATTTATTCTTTTTCTCAGACCTCTAGAGCAAATTGTATCTCAACAAGTGGTTCATGGGTAACTGTTGGCTGTACTACCGGTGTTTGCCTATTATTTGAGGCTGAAAGTTTACAGTTTATAGCTAAACTTCCTTTACCTCATTCGTTGGGTTCCAGTTTGCATGTAAGTTGTTCATTTCTCATAAATATTCTTTCTGGTTTATAGTGTTTTACATTTTAACAACAGAATATTTATATTCAGTGATTTCGTTGTAAAATACATTGTTTATTTCATCTTTTGAGTTTATATGATATGTGATAGATGAGCAGGCTCGATTGACTTTTGCCAACCTGCGCCGCCTATGGCACAGGCCAGATATCCGTTTGCTAACCAAAGGACGAGTGTACTGTGCAGCAGTTCGCTCCGTCCTACTATACGGATGCGAGACTTGGTCGTTATGAGTAGAGGACTTTCGTAGGTTACTAGTCTTCGATCATCGATGTCTCCGAAGCATTGCTCGTGAATCATGGGACAACCGTATAAGCAATGCTGTCGTTAGGAAACGGGAGCTAGGTAAGGATGGCAGACCAGTAGATGAAGTAGTGGAACCTCATCAGTTGAGGTGGTTGGGACATGTGTTACGTATGGCTAACCACCGACTGCCGCGACGAGCTGTTTTGTGGTGTAGGAGTAGGTTGGAAGTAAGCTAGTGGCGGCCAGACCAAAACATGGCAGAAAGCCATGAAGTCATTGACAATTGGACTGAGTCATGTTGGTAGATGTAGACTACCTGGTTGGGGTCCGCGAGACGAAAGTTGCCAATGGTTAGAGAGACCTTGAACGACATGGGTCAGAATCGTTTGCAATGGTGCATGTGCATCCACTCTTTGTGTTCTATGAAATTCTAAGCTTCTGCATTCCTCATAACCTCTACCTTTCTTCTTCTAAATTTATCTTACTGAATTATACTTTTCGAATCATATCTTCGCTCCCTAATCTTCTTCATTACTGCTAATACTTCTATTTTTGCTATCACTCTTGGATTTGAACTGAAAGTTGCGTCTCTGTGCTGATGGGTTTTTTTTGTCTGAACAGTCGAAGAATATCAATAAAAGCCTATTTAATTCACCTTCCAGATTTATTGTCTTTAATTTCAATCATATATCTTCTTCAATTTAGCATTTCATTCCTTACATATAATCGTAGTACTCTTCAGTGCTTACTTATATTCCCTTTGCTACAAATTGTTTTATGCCAACACTGTTTGTTTATCAATCTAAGCAAAATATAGTCTATTTAGAAAAAATCAATATTATCCATACTAAGAAATAGGATTAAAGAAAATATCAATTTAGAGAAATTCTCCTACACGTTTTAGATCCTTGAACTTAGGAATGTTTAGAGAAAGGCACACAGTTTGAATACTATCTGTACCTCAAAATTCATGTTTTTCATCTTCATATTCTTCGGATTGTTTTTCTGTACTTTAATCGATAAACTGCACAGTGGTCGAAGTGTTGTATGTATCAATTGATTTTTAGTGTAATAATAATAATAATAACAATAACAATTGTCTGTATTCACCTTTGTGCTATCGAACAAGTTTCACCTACAAAGAATCGATTTATCCACAAGCAAGCAAACCATTGTGTAATCGTGTAAAGTAATTTGATCAATTAATAAATATGTTTTACAGTTTGATTATTTGGGTTCGTTCTTATTATTTTGTATTTTGAATTACTTACCAGACATAGACTAACTATATTTAAGTTACATGAGCCATGAAGAGTGCTGATAATACGTAACTTTCCAAATGGAAATGAATTAGATTTGGAACCAACAATCGATTATTTGAACTGTGTGTATACATTGAACAGTATATTAGAACAATAAATTGTATTTGGTTGTTTTGAATATTCAAAATATTGATTGAAACAACTAGTTAAACAGTGCAAGCCTTTTCATTCATATAAACAAGTTTTATGTACATATATAATCAACATATATGTTGAAATGTATATAAATCTGATAAATAATTTTATATTCACTGGGAAAGTATTAAAAAAAGGAATGTTGAAAACTTACTGAAAAGCTCGATTTTTGACTAATAAAACTTAAATCTCCAGCGGTATCAATGACCTTTGTAACTAAGACAATATTGTATATGAACATTAATTTCTAGGGTGACAAAGCTAAAAACATTTTGTAGAGAAATATTTCTAACTTCATTGAAGAATATTCTGTATATCAACTCTTAGTTTTAGCGTTTTCCAGTCGGCTTATATTCATCAGTAACCTTATAAAGCCAAGCTCCAACATCTTACTGTTTTGACATACATAATTGAACAACCTGTAAACATGACCTATTCAATAAAAAAAAACTTGGCCTTCAAGGTCATGTATATATATTAAAAAACAATACGTCCCTATCTTTTAAATATATTTAGAAAACTCAGTGCTGTGTGTACAAAAAAAAGCTTAATCATCTGTAACAGTCTTGATGAATATTCAACATATTAACTAACTTCTATATTTTTAGTTTCCTAATAAAAAAAGATAGCACACTGTTCTGCAAATCTTATCGAAACAGATGTTCATCGAATTGAACCTTTCCTACTTTTCTTTTTATCTCATATGATTTTTTTAAACTTATGAATTATTATTATTATTTTATCTTTTTCTTTTTACAGTCAAAAATGATAATCAGTTAAATGTAAAAAGTGTTAATGTTTTTTTGTATTTAAACAAAAAATGTCTTCAACAGGTGCATGTATTGATGTTTACATATTCTCTAGTATAATATAGTCTGGTTTACTACTTGTTGTGCATAACTATGTAATTTAATAAGTTAGATTCATAGAAACTGGTGGAGGTTAGTAGTAAATCGTATGTTGTTCTTTTGGTAGTTGGCGGATAAGACATAATAGGAGCTCTTATATGGCTTTCCATTGTTCTGTTTGTTGTTTTTGATAATTTACTCTGAATCAATAAATCTTTAAAGATACATGAAGCACTAAGTGGTTGGTTTCTACTTGCTTCAATGGATTTTTTTTTATCAATGCACACAAAACTACTTATTCAAAAAGCATCGCACTCAGTATTGTTATTTTAATTGAGATGGATTGCAATTAGCAGTGGGATCTTAAACGTGTGTTTCGTTCTCCTTAGGGCTTTTCAGGTTAATGAGTCTGAATCCTACCTTCGGTTTTCTTACCTGGGTTTGGACCAGGTTATGCCTAACTGATTAGTGCCAACTTGGGACCAAACACGCATCCTTGATTCCCTTGCTCATTATTATTGAGATGCTTCACTCAGGATGCATATAGACTGGCAGATTAGTAGAAACAATATAGCTCGAATTATATATATATATATATATATATATATATATATATAGTATCTGTATATGGGATAGCGGACACAGAATTATTTCGACATCGAACTGAAATTCGAGTATCTAGATATCTGTTTCTAGTAATGTGTGTATTTTAATTAATTTTCCAATTTATATCAATCTCTGATGCAAATTATCTTTAACACGAATGCTCACATTACCAATGTTATTCATAACAATAATAAAAATGACAATTTTTGTTGTTACCTTTTAGCTTTCTCCGGATATTGTCTCAAGCGATTTGAATGTAAATGAATCTATTTATCCTGATATTATTGCAATTAAATTGGATTGTATACGTAATCGTATAATTTGTTTTTATAATGATCATAGGTAAGAATAAATTATATTTAAGTAGTACGAATTATTTCATCTTATATTTATGCGATATGGTTAACCAGACAAATGATATCTTTACTACGCCATATTTATTTTGTCTTTCTTGATTCGTAAGAACGGGCATTTTTGGAAATATATGTATTATGAGTTGAGTATAGTTTAGTTTAAGCGTTCTTGTACATACTGTTTGTTTTCATTGAAATCATGAATCCACCAGTATTAGATCACCAGTAGAAATCCAAATATATGGATTGTTGTTTCATCCTAGTATGAAACTCATCAGCAGTGCACATTAACCACCCCGTGACCAAAAATGTAACCCAGAACCCTCGGTCCAACTCGCTTGACCACTGAGTTGGCATCCAACACTGTTGATGTCTTATTCGAATATATACACGATATTGTGTGACCGTCATCCATTGTCATCGGTGGGTAACTGACTCATACCTGACTCGGTGGAACTCTACTGTTCATGGCTTCTCACTAGAATAGACTGAAAACTCCTCCTCGAAGCTAGTCATTAATGAGCACGTGATAATCGTCAGTATGACAGTGTTTTCAGGTTTTCCAGGTATAACTTGGATCGGTTCATGATTCCCATGAAACTCGACAATCATCACAACCCACTGTTGTATCCCCAACCGTTCACCAAAGTCAAATGACAAATACTGTTAGCTCCAAATCCTTATCAGTCTATAACTCCAAACTTCTCACTTTCTACCTTACCTCTTAGTGCAGAGCTCTGTAGCCAGCTTCCATGAAACCACTATGTTTCAAGCAAATATAGTTTACTCACAAAACATATCAAACCACATCACACCATATAACCAAGAAATACAATAATACATGCGAAGCCAAATATGGCTGTGAATAAAGGAAAATGTAAATAATAAACTAGCAATATATTTAGAAAAATATATCACACAACAGTTATTCGGAAGATCATAGTAAAAGGAATATATATGTATATGTATAATCCAGTTCCTGAACAGTCATACGATAAGACTATACACAATAATAATACATGAATCACTTTTAGGTGTTTACATTTAATCTTTTACACATTTGAAATCATCAATCAATCATTGTTGGACCACCATTAGAAACCTGGGAGCACTGGACGACTGTTTCGTCCTGGTATGGGACTCATCAGCAGTGCGCATCCACGACTCCTGAACCTCGCAGGATTGGAACCCGAGACCTCTGGTATTGTGCGCGAACACCTAACCATCAGACCACTGAGCTGGAATCCAACGGTGTTAATGTCTAACTCTGATTGATCTAGGGATTTTCCGCGACCTCACCCATTTGTGGATGCGCACTGCTGATGAGTCCCATACCAGAACGAAACGGCCGTCCAGTGCTTCCAGGTTTCTAATGGTGGTCTAACAATGATTGATTGATGATTTCAGATGTGTAAAAACACTAATCTCCATAACTCTAATTGAAAATTTAATCTTTTGACATCTAATTTTTTATTCAAACTTCATAGGGGCATTTAATTTCAACATATCTCATCATCAAACAACACTATCATATAATGATAAGATAAAGTGAAACAGAGTTCATTTTTTTCATCCACTGTACAACGTATTCTACTTCATATGTCAATTAATTAAATATTATAAAAAGTAGCCAGTTCAAAAAAAAATTTTTTTGATTGATTGGTTAGATTTGACTGAATAAACTTAAAAATTTACATGACAATCAAACTGAATGCCCTGAATCCCATCGATCTCTGATTAATCGATGCACATCGTTGAAGTGATCAATGCTAAAACCTTAGTTTATATTAGTTAGCATCATTCGAAGGAGGTGTAAGAGGAAAGTTACCAGTGAAAAATAAACAAAACTTCCTTATCAGTTTTCAGAGAATTATCATATCTATTTAAAGAAACGGTGCTATTTTATTATAACACAACAAAGAAAAAAGAATATTTAGTGCCCAGTTAACATTTAAAAATGCTACCACACACACTATAATCAACTGTTAACATCATTAGGCTAAGGGTCAAAATCACATTGTATACGCCTCTAATTTTCACTGGGCAGCTATGATAGTCCTTTCAAGTTAAGTATACATGAATGTACATGATGAGTTGCACTAATTAATCAGCAAACTGAATGGCAATTCAATGAATGAAAATGGAAAATATTCATCAATAACTTCGAAAGATACCCTCACATGACTACATCATGATGTTTATCAGATGATTCCAACATGAAAAGGTAAACTATGGATACATGAAGCAATTCGTGACCTTCAGTAATTAATATACTATATTCACTTTTAAATATAAAAGTACATTCAGACTGATGAATTTCCTTAACACGAGCACTCGCATAATATTCATTGATTAGCTCACAGTTTCAATGAAACTCAAAAATCTCCACAACCATCCTACTGACGATTATTACGTGCTCATTAATGACTAGCTTCGAGGAGGAATTTTCAGTGTATTCTAGTGATAAGTCATGAACAGTAGAGTTCCACCGAGTCAGGTATGAGTCAGTTACCCACCGATGACAATGGATGACGGTCACACAATATCGTGTATATATTCGAATAAGACATCAACAGTGTTGGATGCCAACTCAGTGGTCAAGCGAGTTGGACCGAGGGTTCTGGGTTACATTTTTGGTCACGGGGTCGTTAATGTGCACTGCTGATGAGTCTCATACTATGGTGAAACATCTGTTAATGTATGTGGGTTTCAACTAGTGGTATAACATTAATCGATTCATGATTTCAATGCAATTAAACGAACATATTTTTTTCGCTGTCATTGCGCTATACATACTAAAGCTATTATGTTTGGAGTGTATAAGTGTCAGGTATTTATTGTTGAAGTATCGTTAATATTTAAATCCATCGTACTACAATTTGTGAATTCTGTAGGCGGGACAGAATGGGAATAATTTTACATAATCATAATGATTGAATTGGTTATTTGTGTAAGTTATTGGCTTCATTGTTTACATTTAGTGTAGACTGTTGATAGTTCATAAATTCTGTCGAATAATTTCCAAGTCCACTGCTTTTAGTTAAATTTATTCTAATTTGTAAAAATATAGGTAAGAGTATAAAATAAAGACAAACTTGAGCGGCTCTTAAAGTAATTAAGTCTAATTTTACCGCATTTATTATCAATGAAAATTCAGTTGCTTGATATAATCGGGTTATAGTAAATCAAATAATAATATTAGAAAGATTTTATACTACAAATGCTCTTGTTGGAGTATCTTCTATTCACTTTTCTGTCTGTAATTGAAAAAAATGTCCTTCAATATTTGAAATTTTCAGTGCATTTGATTTAGTAGTTCCCATTGTTCGTTTTATGCAACACTGTGTTAGTCATTTTCCGATTTCTCGTGAAAAGTCAATAGTTGTTTTCTTACTGAATACTTTCTAATTTTATGGAAATATAAAAATACACTAACTGTGTTTTGTTCTTAATAGTTAGCACGAAAATTCTACTCACGGCTTCCTAACGGTTGACTCTAATCAACTTATCTTTAATTGACAGATAATAATAACGAAGATGCATTGAACTTGCACTTAACCTGTGTCAATGTTTAACCGAAACCTAAATTTTATGATACACATGTAACGTCCAAAGTTCATAGAGTTTCGGTTGATTTTCTGAGTAGTGTGGATAAATTCAGTGACTCATATGCACTTGAAGTAGTGTCTAAACACAATCATCAGGTGTTGACCTCGTTACCTATTAGGTATAAATGTCGTTGTAAAATATACAATTTACCTGACCATTCCAATGTCTAAACTATACAATCCAATATTTTGTACCGAAAACGTTGTACAATGGAAACTGTAATGGATCAAGTAGATAAATTGTTTAAAAACAAAAAGAGAAAAAGCGTTCATCACCAGGAGGAAATGTAATTGTATCCACGAATCAATTAAATCAAACAAAACAACCATAGTATAATTAAACATGGTGGATGACAAAAGTAAGATAACGAAACTCTTTACAAAAGAAAACAGTCGGTTGAAGGACTGAAAGAAGCTTTTACCTGATCTTCAAGAATAAGAATTGGCAGATGTAAAAAAATGTGTCTTACATATTTTGGCATTAATAACGAACCTGTTTTGGCATTAACATTCGCTTGAAACACCTACAGCACAAATCATATTAGCGATGTTTCTTGATCGATTCGAGATGTGAATACATATGTTGTAAGAGTTATTCAGTGGTGACGAGTGATTATCTATTCATACAATTAGTATAGAATTGATTGTTCTTGTGTTTTTTTTTTTCACAAAAATGATTCTACATACATTAAGTGACGTGATATGGAGTCTCGTCTAAATTTTAGCTAATATCTTTGTATTCTTTGTAATTAACCTCTTCATACATTACAATATCTGTTCGGCTATATTGCTGCATGTTGAAAATGTTTTGAAGTTAATCATTTTTTTCAATTTGAAGGTTTTGTATGTCCTAGAATCTACTCTATGAATTCTTACAATGATTCTCTTGAGATAACAGACACGTCTTACTGATGATGAGTGTTACCTAGTATAGAACCCAAATCCATCAGCTATCACCCATCATATTTAACTGATTAACATTGTTGCATCTCATTGTGAATATGCCGTATGATTTTTCTATATCAGATAAATATTTCTCTCGAGTGCCTAATGTTAGGTTGAGATGTTTTAGTGAATAGAATGAGTGACTGAGAATATCGAATAATCGTTTTTTCTCTTACTATTTCAGTAGTATTTACACATATATTCAACATATTATCGAGCATTTAATACACACTAGATATGTTATTCGTAGCTCACTTTACACAACATCCTTATTACTTTGTTTATATCCATCATCAAAAGTGTGAACATCCTGTTTATCAAATTTTATTGAATTACCAATGCTTAATGCAATTTATTGATTTTATCTCGACTTGTTGCACATTGTGTATTGACAAATAAAGCTGGAATTCTGTAGAACATTTTGGCTTTAGTTTCTCTGTTCGTTTTATTTCGCGAAAAAAAACTATGACTTTTGCAATCTGATATTCAAATTTTGTCTCTTTACGGAGAATATTAATGAGAGCTTTTATCCTTTATAAGGGCAAGAAAAACTAGCATTCAACAATAAAAAAATACCATTTTAGCTTTGTTTTATCAAGTCTATTCAAAAGATTGTCAATAATGTTTGTTGTCTTAAATTATTTTATTCAATAAAAGTATTCATGTCTGGGATATACATGATTTGACAACGATCAATAAATGTCGATCACATTATTATCACAGTCGAGGTATTTGGTCAGTGGATTGTTTAACGGAACAGTGGCAACAGAATAGCAATAATAATAATGTTTCATTAAGTCATTTACCATCCTGGTGGTTAAATGATATGTTTGTCACGTGTTCTGACGATGGAACTATTCGATTTTGGAATCTGATTGGTAATTGTCGATCGACGACAAATAATCTGAATGAGAATGGAGTTCGATTGTCAACAAGTGTTCCAGCTGGTTCAGATTTTATAGGATCTACCACATTGGAATGTACAGAAGTAAGTGAATGCATTATTTTCTTTAAGCATGTTTTAAATAAAATAAATAAATGAAACAATGGTGTTTATAAGTAGTTATTATTTTTCACTTAGAGTTATGGAGATTAGTGTTCTTTGCACATCGAATCATCAATCAATCATTGATAGACCACCATTAGAAACCTGGAAGCACTGGACGGCCGTTTCGTCCTGGTATGGGACTCATCAGTAGTGCGCATCCACGACTCGCAGGGTTCGAGTTTTGACATACATTCAGTTTTTCAACTATTAAACTGCAAATTGTGTTAGGTTACTATTGAAAAATGGGGAGCACTAGAAAGCTGTTTCGTCATGGTTGTTACTACTAATATTACCTAGTTGTCGCGCTATGTCGTAAATTAATTAAAGTTAGATATGTGCCGTTGGACGTCGACTCAGTGGTTCGATTGGTTAGGCGTTCGACAAGAGTTTTGATGATTCTGATATCTATTTCTGGTGTTGCTGTGGGCACATATATCTAAGAGATGCCATATTAAAACGAAGCGATTTTCCAGTGCTTCCTGATTTTTAGTGACACACTATCTGAGATCAGTCCGTATTGAATGCATTCTACCAATTAAATCTGTTTCAGCAAAACTCCTTCAATTAAAGCATTTATTGGTAGTTCGAAATCGGTTTCTCTTATTTCGATCTAGGTTGCTGAGCAAAATCAATATCTACTCAAACAGCTAAAGTGTAAGCTAAGCTGACTACATTAACTCTATACCTAGGAAAATGGGTTATGTTAGTTTGATCAAACTGATTACTAAACTCCACTAAATCGCTAAGTTTGTTTTTCGTATTTCATTTGGAATTGTTAATTATCTTTTCTTCTTAATGTTCTGTTTTCATCACTTGTCAGTTGTGAATATTGATTTGTTTAATCTCATTGGGAAGGTTAGTAAAGCAACGACATTTAAAAAAAAGTTTCTTGATTCCGATTCACTTTTGATCATAATTAGTTCTTTACTTCATGTTATTTCTTACTTAGCTTGTATAGAAAAAAGTGACTTCGTCTACTATAGTCGGTAAAGTCTCTGTATGAAGATAATTTCTAAGTGTTCATATTTTTCTTTGTATAGTTTTATCATAAAATTTGTAATCGAATCTTATGAATAGATGACCTCAGTGGTTGTTGATTCGTGACAATTTTTCTCAATGAAAAATAAATCAATTTATATCTTAACCGAATTGATAATTGTACATGAATATTTTCAATTTTTCTACATTTTAATACTACTGATTATTGTTTAGTCGATTTACTGTTCACGATTTACATCAATAACAGGTCAACATATTGAATGGAGTTTCTATTTTTACATGCATTACAAAAGTTCATGCAGGTTATATGAATGAATTTCGGTACTTTTCTATAATATGGTTGACAATCACTTGTAAAACACTTGTAAACTGTCTTAAATATATTTATCGACCAGATGCTTGCAACTTTTGTGTCATATTGTTTTTTTTATCTCCTAATGAATATAAACTCTCGTGTTTATTACAATGATTACTTTACATAAAGAAAGTTAACTATAAACAAGAAATCACTCATTGTTATAAGTTGTATTTTACTACTTTTTTTGATTTATTCAATTTCTGTTACCATAATAAATTGTTTAACCAGATACTTCGATACACTTAAAAAAGATTATTAATAATGGTAGATCTAGATCACTTGGGTTCGAAACCTACAAGAAAAATATTCAATCCCCTCTGAACTGCGCGTATACCTTGTAGACAAGAGCCAGCTAGCTCAAAATCAATCTTTAAGGGATCTAATCGACTACCTCCAACCATCTTACATCTTGATGTGTTTATTGTTACAAGTTGTTGATGTTCTGTATAGTGTGAGGTCAGCGTAGTCCAAAAGTTAGAATAAATTATTTAGGCGTGTAACGATGCTAACTGCTACAAAATTTATCTGTACGATTATGAACCCGTCTCAATCAGTTCAAGCTGTTTATTACCAACAAATATTCATTATTTTATTGTTTATTTTAGCAACTTGCTGGCATTATATACACTGATCCAAGTTACAAACACCTATGTACTAGTGATCGTCCTTCAAGTAAGTTTCATACTTAAATTTCGATTTATGTTTCTGCTATTTAAAGCAAAGAATCATTTGCTACTGACCTCATAGTTTCCTTTTAGACTGTTAATTGATATGATTCAGCTATATGTTAGAGATTGGGACATTGTAGAGGACAAAAACATTGTAGTATATATATGTATGTATATATATGGTTACTTCCAAATTTATTTTTTGACAAAATCTCATATTTTTTCTGTTTTGTTACTAATTATTATTTGGCAAAATAAAATGCTAAACTGACTACCTACCTAGAAGTTGGTCGATATCTGTATGGACGATTAAGAATTCAGAAAGCTAAATTGCACACATTGCGGCGAAATATTGCGAACCATGACGGACTACATTGATTGGTCACTGAGTAGTGATGTATATCATGGTTATCTAACTGTTAAAGCTAATCCAATTCTTCACCAATCTTGTAAGAGGTTAGTCCCTTGTGGAATAGCTCAAAAATCACGTTTCAGACAGTTTCGAATCCCACATGAGCCATCAGCCACCTCACGATAAACGGGTATGCTTTATTGAGAAGTACCAAATAACATGGAACCTAAGTTCGGACTTTTCTTCCAACGACTCACAACCGCTTGGTGCTATGAGAAACCGGACAACTATTTCGTTCTTGTTCTTTAACTTTCCATTTTATATTCAGCATACGACTGGCTCTAACTGCAAACTACTGAAGAAAGAATTCAGTAATTTCTATTTTTAACCTAATTAACTGGCATCGTTGTTGGATCTTTATCTTCTTGTATGAGTGATTTATTTTCTCACTTCCCATCGTTTGACTTTAAAAAGATATGTCTCCAGTTAACTGATATTAGGAAGTTTATGCCACTTGGCATCACTTATTGGCCTTTATTATTCATCGTGCTTTCATCGAAGTTTGACAATCTTATATTCATCGTGTTTGGAGTGGTGTATATATAATCTTGAAAAACCTCAAGCTGCAAGTAAACATTTGTCCATAATTAAATAGTGATCAACGTCATTTTTTATTTAATCCTGCTACGCTGATCAAACTATATCGTTCAAGCTGCAATATAGTCGTCAGTATAAGTAACGTGACACGATTTAGACGTTTTTTGATGTTAGAGGTTGTTAGAGGTATTGGGGAGTGAATTCTAAATCTATGTTTCTCACTGGTTAAAACTCATCTACAAGATATACCTGTAATCTAGAGGAAAATAACTCTCTCTGAGGGGTTCGAACTCCCATCTCTCAGTTTCACAGTCTAAAATGTTGTCGTTGAGCTATTTCGGCCACGAATATGACCTATTGTTTAACTAAGATGTGTTTAAATACTTTTACATCAACAGTGACCAACGTCATGTTCGTCTGATAAACCTTTGACCAATCTAAAACTGAAGAAATAATCAATAGTTGTTTTCTTTGTAAACTGAGATTCGCCAACAGCGAGTATCTACAATTTTTTTCATAAAATCAAAAATAACTTTTATTTTCTTATTGAATAATTAAAGCTAACTGTTGTAACTGATTTCAGTTAAATTGATTTGAGAATTTTCACTTGCATAAAGATTTTTTAAATCATTTACATGCAGTATATGTTAGACAGTGAAAATATTGCAACATTTATTTTCAACATCTTTTATGTTTTACTGTTGACTATGAGATTTATTGTTTTAACAGTTAAAATTTATGCCTAGTTTTGTAAGGTTGTTTAACAGAATTCTGTTAAAATCAAATGTTAAAAAAGAATGTAGGAATTTTAGTTTTGCTAAGATAACCCGCTCATCTATTGTAATTTCTGGACGAGAGGTAATTTCCAGTACTTTTCCGTTTGATTGTATATCTTCAATCTCACTCGCTCACCTGTTCAACTTTTTATATTGTTTCAGTTGAAATTACCTTGTCTAAACTAGAAGGTAAATCGGACAGCTATTTCTATATATATATATATATATATATATATATATATATATAAAGTTTTGTTTACGTTTATATACTTATGTGTATAGATGTGTATATCGAATTTACTTGTTTTCCAGTTTCATTTCACTTCGCATGATGTCGGTTTGATTTACATCTTCATACATTATCATCGCTTTTTTTTTCATGCATGTTTATTTATAAACATTCATTGTCTGATTCATCATCATTTGCACACATACCTTGATTATATTATCGAGTTACTGAGTCATTGACTAATACAAACTGTTATTATTATTACTATCACTACTACCGCTACTACTACTACTACTACTACTACTACTACTTCTACTACTATTATTCTTTTGATACCCTTTTCACGACTGGGCACTAAGGAATGATGACACTTGTGACTCAATTTTTTGCAACTTATATATTTGTATATATACTTAGTATCAAATAATTCCGCTAGGATTTTCTCTTGATTTGATCATTATAAGGTGATAATTTTCAGATCAATTTTTATTTTGACACCACCTAAGTGAGATTTGCATTCTTTATACTTACAAGTTCTTTCATAATCATGTGTATCGTCAATTCATTTTCTTTCATACGGTGTGATCCCTTGATTCTGGTTAATTCATTTTCACCTTTACATTGTTTTCTCATCCATCGATTTTTACTTTGATCACTATTCATGATGATCAGCAACTTTATCACTATGATTGAACTATAGTTCATTTTTTTACCAAACCTATTGTTATCACTAGTTTTGACATCATTCAATGAAAAAGAATCAAAGAGCAAAACGTAATGATGTTCCTTGAACTCTGTCTCCATGTGACCTGTTTAGGTTATCATTAATATACTTTTATTTCAGAGACTGTACTTTAGCAACTAAGTCCCTTTATCATTATTACTGTAATACTTCCAAATTTTTTCCACTATCATTCTCATTGTCGTCAAAATGTTTGTTTGTGTATAATTAAATCAACCCCATGTTCATCCATATATAAAAATTTATTAACTTGATCTAGATTATGTTTTTACAGATAAACTTATACATGTCACTAAAATGTTCTGTGAGTATAAGATAGAAGGATGAGACATTACTGACCAAAAAATGAAACATAGTATTATGGTTTAAACAGTTCAACTTATTGAATAAAAAGAAATAAACAATTTTTTAAATGGAAAATCAAATGTTCACTTATTTCCCTTGATTATGCGGTACAGTTGTTTTTTGTGTATACTGTGTGTTACACCAATTTAATCAATACTGTATTTTATTTAATTTTTTATGATGAAAACGGTCATGTCCAGTGAACTGTATTTTTGTCAAAAAAATTGACGTTCATTTCGCAAACAAATGTACATCGTGGTAGCATTCAAAAAATTAAATAATCTTTGCATCCGAAAATGTTCATCTCCTCTTAAACATAAGTAAAAATATTGACATATTGTAATTATAATAATTTTTATTTGACAATTGAACATTCCTAACTAATTATAAATTAAAATGAAGTGTAATATTCTACAACTTATAACTATTATCGAAGAAGACAGAGAATATTGACGAAAAAGAAATATGTATGTAATTAATTTTAGATTTATCATTTATTTTGTCTTATTGAATCTTTCATGATAACCATCTGTGTTAAAATTAAGTGTCGTTCCTGTTTTTTCCTACTGATTACCAACAGTTTCCTTTTGTTTTTATCTCAAAAATCACTTTGTTGTCGCAGCAACTTTATCATGATCATCGTCTTCATCTTTCTGTGATCAGTGTTGAAACACATGGTGTTTTGATAAACTTGTATTACTTACTAATCATAATTCATTACTACTCTCAACTCTTAACAGAGTCGAAACTCGAAACTTCAAAATTTATTCATTTGACCGTACTTCATCACACTCATCACCTTATTCTCAACTTTTTTCTATTTTCACATCACTCATTTCAATTAATTGCTAAATTATATGATAGTCCTTGATGCTGTATTATTCACTAATCCAATCTTGTGTTCGTTCTAAAACGGTTAATTTTAAGGATTCTCAAAATATGGCAGGTTGATTGTTCATCATTTTGCATTTTCTATTTTTACTACAACAGCCAAAAATTAACTGAAATCATAAACGACTTTTGTAAGCTACATACCTGAGTTTAACATAGACCTTTTCGTACAGATGTACAGCTTTTAAGTGTGATTCTACCTTTGGTTTTTGGATGTTTTGAATTCTTCTTTCCATAGCATGAGTTAACGCAAAATTTCATATGATAACATGTAAAATGTTGTGTCATCATACTTATAAATATTTAAAGTATGTATATTATAATCATGACGCTTATATCTTACTCATCGAATTCGATTGCATGTCTCTTTTCGTTAACCAATGACGAACGTTTGTGTGGTTTTGATTTTTTTTGTTTTTTTGTATTATGACTACTTACTTGTAAAAACAAGTACTATATTGCGGTATTTGGAAATTAGTTGCAGCATATTCAAATTGGCGCTTCACATTCGTAGCTTTAATCTTTTCTGAATAACATTGACTAGTCTCTATTGAAATTGTGACTGAGATAGGTCTTATTATGTTGATCAGTCGTTATCCATCGAATAGACACATCTTATCACCTCATTCTGTTCGCGGTGTGTCGATTGGAAGCACATACTCTTGCCGATATCGATGCTCCTAAAACGTGAGTTGGGGCCTTGCAGTCATTGCATCAAATTTCAAACCTTTTCGTTAGTATCCCGATGATTGATCATACGTGATCGAGATACCTGCTGTATGGCTACGTCCAATTAACATAGAACGCTTGAATGATTCTTTATTGCTATTACTTGAGCATAAACATGTGCTTAAGTTTACACAGCCGTTTTATTTTCCATTGTTTTCAATATTCCTGCGGATGAAGTCACTCCATAATATAATTATAATCATTAGTGAATTATTTTTTATAACTTTTCTTTGCCAAATAATATTAATTAATAAGGTGCCGCCTAATTTATTCAGTCACCTTGTTTGTGTCATACTAATAATACACTATTCAACTGCACTTAAACTAAAGTAGGTCAAGCGAGGTTTGAACCTGAAACCTACTATTCGAAAACTTAACCCACTTAGTTATTTTTCAATTCATATATGTAAAATCAGTCACTTATTACTAACATAAAATATCATTATTGCTCTTTCAGGCGGAATAGGTTTGTTAGGAGGACCTGGTTTTATACCTGGTACAAATGATCTTGGACAAATCGATTCTGCACTTCAATCGCCTGCATCACCATCACGTCCATCATTCAGTGATCACTGTCAGTTGTTTTCCAGTTTAACTTCATCGAATACTGCTGCTACTAATGTTAGTAATAATAATACTGCTACCAATATTGGACCAACATGTGTTCGCACCATTTGTATTAGTCCCGATGGTCGTCATTTAGCAGCTGGTGATCGTGATGGAAGTTTAAGGTAAGTGTGACTCAATTAGAATGTTTTCAAATCTTTTTATTGGTTCTAGTGACCAATTTTCTGGAAGTGTTTTCACCTTTAATATCATTTATGTATACTTTGATACAATCTTTTTCAAAAAAACTCCTTTTTCATTGATTCATGATTTTAAAGGAAAATTGATCTCGTACTGTTTGCCTACGGCAAGTGATCACCTGCATCTGTCTTACATTCATTTTGATTTTATTAAGTCTGTCCTTTTTTCGCATATAAATAGAGGGATCGTCGATAGATGTGCATTGGTAGACTTCTATAGTTTGATATGGAAATGGTCGATAGAAAACTTATAATCGTTTTGTTCAATACAAACATTTGATGATGCAGACGACTTTTAGGCTAATGTTATGGTGCCTCCACATACATTTGAGTTCGCTCATATTTAATTTGGTTAGGCCTTTCGATTAACTTATTTAACCAAGCCGTTTGTATAGCTTATATGTACCATTGGCTTTTACTGTTGTCTTGTTTGTATGAGCTGGTATGCCAGTACATTGTTTACCGCATACGCGAATATTCATCCGACTCGCTTTAATGTTAATCATTTGCATATCTCGATGACTCAGACATTTTACTATATATATATATATATATGTACATTTTGATCTTGATAATTCATTCGCCAATTCGCTCACTCACAAGCGTGCTTGTGGTCTACTGGTCCATTTGTGGTGTACCAAAATAAACGTTATTCAACACTTCCTATTCGCCTTCTGATTCAAAGGCCGTGAAGCGCTATTTAGTAACAATTGTCTGGACGAGCAAATTACGAAGTCTAAGAACACGTTGGATACCGACCTTCACGAAACTAGTAATACATTGGCCACCATAATGTAATAAAAACACTTCAAAATGTTGTTTCTCCAAGATTTTCTAAAACTGTCAATAAATATTTTAAAAAATAATTTGATTGTTTCCAATATGACCGTTCCAGTTATAAAATATTTACCCATTGTAAAGTTGTTTTTTTTTCGAATCTCCTATCTAATTTTAAATAGTCAGTTAGATGGTAAACGTGTTATTCGTTAATTAAATTTTAGTCAGATAAACAAAAATTCTGTTAATGTTAGGCTATTGGAAGGGCTATCACTTATTAGTATTCATAGAATTAATCTAAAATACGAAAACCCTCCATAATTTACATGTTTCCGAAGAAATTTCAAGGTTTTTTATGCACTTGCATGTGATTGAATCAGATTGAAATTTTACAGTGTAAAAGAATTTGTCATAGAACTTTAACTTATTACTGATATAGAAATTTAGTAATGTAAGCTGATGCTGGATAAATTTATCTCATCCATGTTTGTAATGATATTTTGTGGCATCAACAATCAATCTTATTACTTGGGTTTGGAAACTGTTACCTGAAAGTTATATAAAGTTTCGTTTCAGGGCTTCCCTAATATGTAACTGCTTCTGTAATTAATATTTTATGTTCCTTTTTAAGACTGCCAGAGATGGAGAGAGACTGTGAATGCTAAGTTGAAAGAAATTTTTTTAAGGATAAGTAAATTTTTGTTGCCATCTGACTACAATCTGCTTTTATCCAAATGAGTCTTCTGATGTAAATCACGTAAAATTTATTGAAACAATTACTTGTTGAATGAGATAACTACTTGTACTGATATATTTCTTCAAGCTATTTAAGTCCACTTTAATCTGGACATACAAGAGAGTTTGAAGTAACATTTTAAATGAGGGCTTAGAATTTCATTTCTATAGTTGTTGTATTCAGCTATGAATTGAAAAGGCTTTTCTTTGTTGAGAAATAGTACATCACCTTATTTAGTTCATTTTTCTTCATATTGAGAAGTGAGACTGTACTCAGGTGCTTATTAGTATAACTGTGTCACAAATCAATCAGTCAATCAACAGCAACGTAGAACTTAATATGTACGTACATCTGTTCAAGTTGCTATACCACATTATCACAGAGATGTAATTTTCAATTCAAATCCCATTAAAGTAGAGGTAGTAAAAGTATTAGCCTTAATCGGAGAGTTTAGGGTTCGACGATATTATTCAAGAAGTAGAATCTAGTGAAACAAACTTAAGAAGAAGAAGAAAAAGGTAATGAGGAGTTTAAGAAGGTTAAGATTTGAGAGAACACAAAGAATGAATGCACCTGCGCCATTGCAAACGGGGTGTCTAACCATCGATTATTAACATCTCGCGGGCCCCAAGCAGGTAGTCGACACCTACCGACATGACTCAATCCACTTGTCAGCGACTTAATGGATTTGTGCCATGTTTTGGTCTGACCGCCTCTAGCTTTGTGTCATAAAAATCGAGTAGTAGTGAATATTTGATTACCATATCCTCTTCAATCCTTGAAAGCTTATCTAATTACTTGTACGCTTTTCTTTACAAAAATTTCTAGTTAAATATTGCGGCTTTCTGTCTTACACTTTCATCCAGCAACTGCATTCCAGTCAGTTTTCAATCGTTCTTCTAAATTCACACAATACTTTATCATTTATAATGTAATTTGAATAACTGCTTGGCGTCACCAGTGCTTGAATTATTAGAATTCTGATTTTCGGTATAAGTTTGTCATGTTTACATCTGATTCAAATACTTTTTTCAAACTGTAGGTTTCTAATTTAACTTGTTTACTTTTTAGTCATATAAGTTATGGAGAATTTAAAACTTTTCATTCATCTTCTTAAGCTCTGAATGGTTAAATAATCTATTAACTGTTATTGAGTACTAGGTCTAGGTCAAATAGTTTTGTATACGTACGCTTAAATACCTTTCACTTCGTTGAGGGATTTACGCTGATGTCGAGTCCGATTGCCAGACCAAGATGTAACATCAGTTTGTGGAATCATCTTCTGTTATCCTAAGCCACATCCATAAATACAGACTAGCGAATTGGGGTCCACACGATAACTGTAACCAGTGATTGATATCGTTGGGTAATATGACTCAGAATGAGTCATAGTCGCGCATGTCCATTCACTCCTTATCTTCCTGTCGATCTGTAATTTCGTCATTGCTTCAATCGTACCTTTTAATTCTGACTTTTAAACGTGTATTCCTAATGTAAAACCTTTCTCATCATCATTCTAGATATATGATTATTTAATTTAATTTACTTTTCATTTGTAGAAATTTATCTCGTTATACTACTGTGTTATGTCAACTTTGGTTAACGTACATATGATTCAGGCTTATGTTGATTATGACTGACTGTTTTTGTACACAAATCTCTATATACGTAATTAACAAACAGTATACCTACATGAACACGTGACTATAGTACTTGTAGATATATATATATATCTTCTATTTATTGACCATTATTAATTCTATTGTACAAGTAAATCACATGACATTTAAATTGAAATAATTTCTAGACTTAACTGAATGTAACTACTGCTATCATCATTATTACTGAATTCATTAATCGATTTATAAGTTTTTAGTTTGAAATATTTGTGCATGGATATATACTTATCTGTTTTTTAGAGTTTACTCCTTGGAAACATTAAAATTGTTTTATCAAATACCTGCTCATGACAATGAAATTCTATCATTGAATTTCTTTCGATCGCATTCAGGTAAGTTGTAATGTGGAAATATTATCGTTTCTAAAGTGTTTGTTATTCTCCAAATGTAATGCTAAGTAAGAGTTGTGAGTTTGACGGCTACTATTTATTTATTAGCGAACTAGCTAACTACCATTCATTTATTTCATTGTTATACTTTATTTTGAATCAAGTTATTTGTCACTGTGATGAGTTCGTGGAAGAATAAAACAGCAGTATTTCCCCCTTCTCATCGGTAATAATAGTGATTTGTTTAGTAGATGAGTGGTATGGCAGTATGAACTTATGTACGTGTGCACGTAAGAAGTTCTACGTTGTAACTGACTGATTTAGATGAGTGTCTACAGAAACATGATATTTATTGATTCCTTATTCCTTCTTGTTCAGCTGTCGCTACCACTATTGCGTCTCTGTGGTAATGCGGTATGGCAACCTGATTTAATGTACTTACGTACGAAGTTCTACGTCGCAACTAACTGACTGACTGATTTAGCATGGTAAGATTTACCGTGGATAGATTTTCTGTTAGATATTCCATCGTTAACTTTATTTATCCTTATTATATGTGTAATTTGATATGACTGACTGTTTTTTCCCCTTGTAATTGTTGTCCATTCTCTTAGTGCCTCAACTTTTATTGTTATGTTCTGCTTCACGTGATCGTATGATTCATATATTCGATCCGAATAAAGAATATTCTCGTGTACAAACAATATCTGATCATTCAGGTGCTATATTTTCTGCAAAGATCATTGAAACTGATGATGGTGAAATTCGATTAATCTCATGTGGTATGGATAAATCATTATTATTTAGAATACTTGAAGTAAGTGTACATACATGTATTTATTTATTATTATGGAAAGTGTTAATGATTGTGTTGCAATGTCTAAATAAAGTCAATTCAATGGATATTTTTATATATATATTATCGTTGATACATTTCTATTGCATAAGAAATTCGATTACAAATCTATCTTTGAATGAAACAGAGATGCAATTACAACTTTACAATTTCATAACAGTAGAAGAGAAGTACAAGTTATGGTGTAGTTTACTTTCTAAACGCATGTTCATCTACTCTAATATCTTAGCGTTTATGAACTGGTGTTGCTCTTCAGTCAACTAATTCAATCTGTAGGTGAAGTGAAGTTTTTTTTATTAAATTTTAATCGCTTGATTCTTTTTATGTGTTATTAAATTTAAATTAATATACATTCAATGTACGGTTCAAAAGACAGCTACGGGGATCATCTTTGTGAATAGCTTAAATGTAACTGAATATTTAGTATATACGAATCTTTTTTTATATATGATAAAGTTATTACGCGTTTTAAAGATTGATAAATTAAATCACTTAGTTGGTTATAAAAACAGCATTTTTAACATTATATATTCATTATTTAAACTTTCATTTCTATTGATCTTAATTTTTTAAATTAAAGCCTGATGAATCTGGCCAAACAGCACATTTTGCACTTGAACATCATTTAGTTGGACGTCATTCTCAATTAGATGCTTCCATTACGCCAATGTTACCTAGTTCATTGGAAAATCGGACGAATTCCACGAATCGAAAACGTTATCTAGCTGTTGCATGTCAAGATAGAAGGTTGAGAATTTATAATGTTGTCACTGCACGTCCTGTACGCTGTTATCGTGGAAGTTACACTGAAGATGGTTTTCTAGTTCGTTGTTCAATTGATCCAACTGGATCGCTGATTGCAACTTCAGGTAAGATTTTTAAATAAACGTTTGGGTTTGAACTAAATTTTTTCATTCTAGAATTTATTTTTTTAGAATTAATATATTTTTCCCAATGGTTTATATTTGTGAATCGAAACAGATTATCTTAAACAGTGTGGTCATAGACAAGTTGAAAAGAATATCACATATCTTTCAGATGAAGTGAGAATTTGAATTGTTAGTTTGAGCCTTAGTTATAGTTCTGTATCTCGTTTAACCATAATGGATCGTGTATTTTCATAATAATCATGCACTTAAAGGTAACTAGTTTTTACATGGATTTTCCAAAGTTCAAAACCGTGATTGTTAGTGGGAGTCAAATCGGAAATTATACAATTATTGACTTCAATATTATTGGATTCGGGTCATGGTGCATCTTGAATTGCCTGTTTGTGTGTATAACAATGGGAAACTAGATATCAGTTTAGTTCATTGCACTAACTTAAGACTTTGAGCACTAATTCATTTTATTTCGAACTGAAATATAGCTAAATTGATTCATTCATCAGTTACTTGGATATGAGCCACACTCTGTAGTTACTACCCGGTTGCACTAACCGAAGTAGGCGGAGGATTTCGAATCTTGATCTTAGTGACCGTTAAGCTGTCACTGTTCACGAACTATAACGAATCACCTATACAGTCAATGCTTTAGTAATATTTAACAACCTTCCATTAACATCAGTACATGATTCAAATATGTATACTTGTTTGTCAACTGTAATTATTTTTCAAATGTGATGTTACTTGTGGCTTGTATTCAGTTGTTTTTATGTAACTGTTTGTTTAATCAACACAATTTTTCTTTTTAAAAAAAATTATAGGTTCAGATAAACAATTGAATTTATTTCATTTACTTACTGGTGAATCAATTGCCACATTATATGGTCATTCAGAATTATGTTTAGGCTTAAAATTTCTACCTAATCTACGTTATTTAATATCAGTTAGCGCTGATAGTTGTATATTTGTTTGGCGTTTATCAACAACTTTAACACAATATCTATATGAACGTATTACTACACCGTGTATGTTTAAGAATGTATTAGGCAATTCAATTAGTTATCCTCAATTAGATGGAATTCCATTAGGAAGAACAACTTCTGCAAAATCAAAAACTAGTCGAGGAGAAGAAGAAGAAGAAGAAGACGGAGTTTGTCGTGATTTATTAAATAAAACTTGTTCCAATTATTCTCATATTCGTAATAATGATGATGATAACGGTGAGGATGAGGATGATACTAAACAAAGTGTCACATTTCGAAAATATGCTTGTCAATACAACAACGGTAGTAGTAATATTAATAATGAGGATTGTAACAGTCTGTTATGCAATAATAGTGAAGTGATTGAATATGCAAATGATGCTGATGACCTGGATAATGATGATGATGATGACGACGACGCAACATCGTTTAGTCAAACAATGCCTCCGTCGGAATGGAATGATTCACTTGCAGAATATGATGATGATGATGATCATGGAGAAGATAGTGAATTTGATGCAGCATTTCCTTTAGATGATTTATTATCAACGGATAATGTGACAAATACGAATACAGTTCGTATGAAGAATCATACAATCAATAGGCATCATGTAAAGAAACGTAAATCTATTGTCAGGTATGTAAAATATGTCATAATTATGTTTTATTCATATTGTTCTAAAAGTAATTCTTATTTCAAATTGCTCTGGTTGCATTCGTTTGTTGTTTTAGAGTGAATTATTTTATTTCATACATTCAATTCCCTTTATCATGTTCAAGACAGCAAGAACAAAGATTTAAGCAGAATAAACTGTGCTAGTGTGGGTATGGCAACCTAAACTGATGTACGTACGTACAAAGTTCTACGTTATAACTAACTGACTGAAGCAGAATAATGCGAATTCAGTCTATTTCGTTTGGTTCTGACTAGTTGCTTATCGCCTGAAAGTGGATTCAAAATTAGTTACATGAAAGTGTTTAGTAGGATGTCGCCATGCTCATCAGTATATTATAGCAAAAGTGTAAGTGTTTGTGATAGACTGAATGAAAAAGATTGTAAATTCATACTTTATTCAGAAGACTATTCTACAAAATTGATAATAACAAAAGTTCAAAGGGCTAGTAACAAGTGGTTTTACTTAATGAATAAAAGCTGGTTGTAGTAAGTAAGTATAAAATGAGTAAAAGTGAGTTAGTTAAAGTAAGAAGGCAGTTGAAATATAAAAACGTATTGATGAAAGATTTGAACAAAATATAATGATTTCTTTTGAGATTTCATTTCAATCACTTACCTTTGTTCTATTGTTTACAATAACCTTAGTATAACATCTTCAGACACACACACAGAAATACAAACACACTATTCTTAACAGTTCGAATTATACATATTATTCACAATAAGCAACAATTTAAAACATTGTAATTGTTTCAGTCTGTTAATTCTGTATTATAATTATGTTGTTTTTCTTATTTTGTTTTAGTGAAAGCACTCCAACTAATCGGCGTACTAATGAAAATAATAACAATAATAATAATACTTTGCCTGTCAATCATTCGAGTAAATCGCAAACTACGCCAACTACTACTAGTAATGCAGCAATTTCAGTCAATCAAGATAATGATGACAACAATAATTGTAGTAATCGTGTTCGAGGCAAAAAGCCAGAATTCTATTTCAGTGTCAGCGCACTTCCAGCTTGGGCACGTAGAAAAGTAATATATATAACTAGTATTGATGATGATCATAATTTCTTTTTCAGAATTATTATTATTATTATTATTCATGTTTATCCACTAATTACTAAGATTCTATACACCTACGTTTAAAGATTAAGTGGGATTTTTATGGAAAGAAAATGTAAATATTTTATCCAAGATGTTACGGAAACAATTGATGTCGGATTCGAGTTTTCCAATTCTGCATATCTATTAATCTAGCTTTTAATTGCTGGGCATTAGATTTCTCCACCTTTTACTTTTGTAAAAACGGTTTGTAAAGCACTTCAAGTGAAATAAGGTTTTTCACTCAGATTTTGTTTGAAATATAATGAGAGAAACAGCAGACAAAACACGGTACCTGATAAACGGAAGTTGAAACCTCCTGTGTGAAGTCGTGATTGTTCATATATGGGAGGTATCAAACTACTATTGAATGTTTGTCGGATACTCCTTTAATAGTTCTTCAGTTTGTGTTAATTCATAACCTTATTCAAGTAGTAGGACTTTGAGAACTTCTGATCAGTCTCCTACACTCCCTAAAATTCACTATTTTATGTCCTAATTAGTTTTAAATGTTCTTCTCGTTGTATCCGTCAGTCAATTTTTTTAACGATGTTTTTCCAACTCATTCCTAAAACTGATTAGAGGTAGGGATTACGCATTAAAAATACATTCTATCATAACCATTTTAAGGTTTTGAGGACAGGTATCATACATAATGTAATATGTATGATTGTAAACATTTACTGTTTATAGTTGCTATTCTAAGTATGGATAGAGGTTTTAACTCTGATTCATACATCATCCAAGCATAAACTCAGAAAGCCTGTTTAACTTTTGCCAACTTATGTCACTTGTGGCGTAGGTGAAATAATCGTTTGCTATCCAAATAACGAGTTTACTGCTTAACTAGTTCCCTCCGTTCTACTCTATGTCTGTGAAACATAATCTTTAAAAACAGAGGATATTCGTAGGTTACTTTTATTCGATTGGTGTCTTCTAAGCAGTATTCGCTTATTTTTTGAACTATCAAATAAACAATATCTGGCTAGGAGTGTAATCCTAGATAAAGATGGTAAACTGATTGTGATAAGATAGTGAATCTTCATCATCTTAGGTGGTTGGAACTTGTGTTACATATGTCCAACCACAGCCCACCTCAACGAGCGATGTTGTCTAGTGTAGGAGTAGGCTGGAAGAAAGCTAGTGGTGACCAAACCGAGGCATAGCATTAACTCATGAACACGCACTAACTGTCGAAATGAGCCATGTATGTATGTGTAGATAACCTGATCGTAGTGTACGTGATATATGTATGCATATTCCTGCTTTTTAGTTTCTCATCTATTACCATCAGACTTTGATCAATTCATTCAACATATATATATATGTATTTTTAGCTGAGTCGTCGTGAATCAGTGACCATTGTGCCAACTTCACAGGTGATAAAACTTACATTCATTTTCTGTTCTTTTTTTTCTCTATGTTGTCTATTTCATTATACAATTATAACTTTTTCAGTATTCTTCCAGTGCATTTGCATCTTGGTGTACACAATTTAGCCGATAATTAATTTACAAATATTTGCATTCTTATTCATTTTTTTTAAAAATTTTGTTACTAACTGAGTTGATTGGACTGATATGTTGTGTAGAAGTGTATACACATTGTATTGACACTTTATGGTTGTTGCTTTTTTTTTATAACATATGCTCATGAAAAATGATTTTTTCCACAGTTCGTTTTTTTCCCCTGATAATTCTGCAACAGTTAAATTTTAATCATACAACTTACACTATACTATATTCATTCGTACGATTAAGTGTTGTATGTACTTGTGTAAATCACTTCAATTCTTATTACTATTATAAGAAATTAGATTATCACTTTTTGATTGCATATTTCATGTTGATTTAGCAAACTAGAAACACTGCACTATCCTTTTCAATTGATTTACATATGATATTCAGTATGAAACTCTTTCCAACTGAAAATTTTTTTCACTCTGTATTCATTGTTGAAATATTATTATTTGAAATCATTGTTTGTCATAGCACACAAATGCTCTGATTGAATTTGTACTGATTAATGTAGGTTGCTTACTTACTTACTTACTTACGCCTGTCACCCCCTAGTGCAGCATAGACCGAATCAATGTAAGTTAGTGTTATTTCATTAATGAAATCAGATGTTTTTTTTAAAACTTCATCTATTCTATGCTGAATTTCTAGTTGTATGTAAATGGATCATTTGAAAATGATCTAATATACGAAAAAGTTAAAACCAAATGGAACAAACACATATTTGGAGAAGATAACATTTTGTATACGATATATGTGTACATGCTCTTCAATCATTTATTTGCCATCCAATCAGGATACTGAATGCCTTCTCTCATTACTAGACAACTATCCTGATGGTTTATATTTTTCAAACTATATAATAGCAGAATGGTCGAAATTTCATTCAATGTAATGCATATAATTCACATGATGGAATAAACTTCTTAGTTTGAGTTCTTGTTAATATCAATGGTCAAAACGGTTAAAGACATATAAAGTACTAATATTGTTTTCAATAATGACTTATATATATACGTTTCTTCTCGTTCGCAGATATTTAATCATTTTCATCATTTTTTAAAGGAAAACCTATTTGTTTTTTTGTATATAGTCATCTATTTTCTCTTGCAAAGTGCATGCTTTTATTCGAGTATTAGATTAGTTGATGTTATGTTTCCCTAATTACTGTTTTATGCATGATTTTTCTTTATATATTTTTTTGGCGTACACTAGTTTGTATGTTAACTTGATCACAACTTGCACATATGATAGTCCATTTTGTAGTTAGCATTTTCTTTCAGAAATCTTGATTGATTGATCATTTAAAACCTATCTATTTTTCTGTGAAATTTGAGTGTATCTTTCTGTACAGTACGTTTTTTTTCAATACTTTGTATCTTGTAGGTTTTGAACAGTGAATTCGATGTGGCTGGATCGGATTCAGCTAGTCAAACCTCTGTAGGAAGTGGTCCAATATTGCCTATTTCGACTAAAGGCCCCGGTTCTTTTGAAATGATGCCTAATCATGTTTACCCATCATCTTCAACCACAGCAACAAATAAAACATCCAAACACACCCGTGTCCGCAGCAAAATGTCAATTGGAGATATTTCTGAAAGAGTTAGTCAGCATAATTTATGCGATTGTTTTGCTACATAATTGTTTTTAGTTGCAGTTTTGAAATTAAATTGATCTAATAATACATTTTTTCTGATCTTCTGTAATGAGGTTTTTTTCTTAACAGAGAAATCCCTAGGCTGTATATGAACCTAGGTTGTAGAAATGTAGCTAGGTAAGCATTGGACTTCACTAACTTTTGTTGTTGAATAGTTGCATAGTATTATTTTTAGTTCCCATTTTCAAAGAATAGTACTTGGTTTAGAGAGATAATGAAACTACTCCAGGTTGCCTTAGGTGAAGCAGGTCTCGAACTTAGAACTTAGTCATTAAAAGTCCTTCACCAATAAACTACTTCTCTACAATGCCTTGTACAGAAATATCTTATACTTGTTAACATAATTTATCACTTGATAAAATTATTATAAGCGGTTGATTATATTGAAAGTATTGAATGACAAATTTCTTATGGGTTGGTACAATCATTATGCTATTGGATCGGATATTTCAATAAACAACAATTTGGACTTAGAATGCTCCATATTATTCGCTACTTCAATCTCCCTAACAAGTTAGGAAGACAAATTAACACTAAACAAATTGTCTGCTGTTGTTTCCTCGAATGATGAAGTAGAAAAATGTTTTGATATTAATGAGCTTGAATGCTATTACGAGTTCACTATACTCGGTAAACGGAGCAAAGAAAAATGATGCAGTAAAACGATAGGCTATTCTAATCCGTTGTCCCAGCTCCAGCACTCAGAAAATACGAGATTGACAAACACAAATCGAGTTTATTTATGCATGATAGAAACGTCCTTGGGAGAGCCACAAAAATAGCGTACTAAAATAATCCGCCAACCAATGACAGTCAAGGATTTTCCGGGTGAGTAATGTAACCTCAAGATCATTTGAGTAACTTATGGGGGAGAAATGCAAAATAGGACCTTTTCAAGTGAGTTCTGGGGATCTTACGTCCCCAACAGATATAACTAACATTTGACTACTCAAAATCATGTATATTAAAAACCTAACTTGAACTTACATTTATGATACACAAATTGCAACTTGACTTATTTAACGATCGATTTTTATTGGGCAATTTCATTGAAATTGTCAAAAGAATGAAATAGCATTTTTCAACGAAATCTAGTGTATTTGTTTGTTAATTTTATTGGGCAATTTCATTGAAATTGTCAAAAGAATGAAATAGCATTTTTCAACGAAATCTAGTGTATTTGTTTGTTAATTGCTTGTTAATTACAATGAAAAATCACTTATAACTCAGTGTAGTTTGGATATGTGAAGTAACTTACACTTGGTCACTGGCAAAATTAACACCATTTGAAATCATATAACTGAAAAGAGTAAAGTATGAATTAAATAAATCTGAGCAAATCACTTCAGCATAAAATTATGTTGTATTTTTTTGTGATTCCCTTCTTCCTATTTTGAATTATCATCATCTTGTTAAGTCTTGATTCGAGTCAAATAACATTGAAGTTACACAAGAAGACACACCTAACAATCTTATAGATCTTGAATAGCTTCAAATAAACTGACAGTCTTCTTTGAAAATTATAAGCTGTTTTCAACTATATAAAAAAATGTTGAGGCATTGGAGACGAAACCCCCCACTGAGTTCAATAGAAAGAGAAAAAAGAGTTTCACTTGTTATCGAACTTATTTCATTAAAATTCAATTCACACTTTTTATAATTAACACATACAAAGTTTAATCCTATCATTTCACAATACAAATGTCACATTTTTCACACCCACTAACATGTATATATATATATATATATATATATATATATATATATATATATATATATATATATATATATATACAAACATGCCTCACCTTGACCGTATAACAGAGCAATGGACTTGATCTGACTTATTTTGATTATACTATTTATTTGAAATTTTGTCCGTTTTCAAAAATGTTTTTACTCTTTGGACCTACATTAATTTAATTGGATCATTTTTGTTGTGATGCTCAAAAGAAGCTGTGAAATGTTGGTTGTTTTATGTTTGCAAAAAAATTCACTTATCAATTCATTGGAAAATTATAACAAAATATTTCATTAATTTCTTTCTTGCGATCCGCTTCATCGTCAAGTCAGGCATTGGTAATGAGTGACATTTATATACATAATATTAATTCATTTGATATAATTTGTATATATTTATGAATGAATATCCAATCCATTCATCCAACAAACAATTCTTTTCAATCATGTGATCGATTGTCTAATGATTAAGAATTTGGATTTCGCAGCATGATTGATTGATCAATAATTTCATTTTCTATTTTTACATGAATTGAAAATTTAACACTTTTTTCGCACTATAAACAGTGGACTAGTCTTAGGTTTTTGATATGATGCTAATGATTTGTAGTCCAATTGGATATGTTTCTTGATCATTTCTCGTTATCTTGTGCTAAATGGTTTGATTGAAAAGCATTCAATGTTGCTCTGAACAACAAGGTCATTAGTGAGTATACTTAAAATAACCGTGAGTTTATGACTTTATTTATTGGAATTGTTTCAAAAATGACAACAAAAATCTACTAACTCTGTAAATGTGAGACACAGAATTATCGTATCATGATTAATATCTAGTAGCTGATTAAATTCAATTATGGGCTACAATGCATTACCTCAACATCTTGATGGATATTGTAAAAGCGGTTGATTGTTAAATTTAATTTTCTCATTTCAATATTTTGTTTTACTATAAAAGGACATATTAACACCGGTGTCTACTACTACTGCTGTATCTGTTTCACAATCTACAATATCAAATAATCCACATAGTCGTACAATTCAGTCATCAATGTCTCGATCAGAATACAACACTAGAGAATGTTCCCATGCCAGTGGAAATGGTGAAATCAACTCCAATGAACAAGTAATTCGTGGAAGAAAAAATAATTGGTCTGCACGTGCTGTTTCTGCTCCGGATACACCTCGTTCTTGGAAGAAAGATTCTTACAGTGGGGATAATAAACGAACGATGACGACAGCAGAAACAACAACGTCAGCAACAACAACAACAACAGCATCAGTGACATCCACATCCACTACTACTGCTACCACAAGAACACGAAAAATAATTGACAATTCTGTCAGAAAACCTTGTCCTACTCAACAGACAGCGGAAACATCTTTGATCTATCGGATCTCTGTGCAAAATAGACCTAAGGATTTGGTTAGTTTTCACAGTAATATATATGCCCTCATGCCTTGTAGTAATGTAGGATTGTTTTATATATGTGACTAAAGTTTTCACTTATTTATGTACAAGAAAGGAGATGCTACAAAAATATCGATGAAATTGTATGAGAATTCAAATTCTAGTCGATAATCTGTAAGCAAACACACATGGTTCATTTACTCAAATCACAATCAATATCTGTTAGTGATATTTCTGTTGTTGTCAGAAGTGCTGAATTCACTTTGTAAGTATGAATAATAATCATAATAATGTATCTATCCTTTAAAGTCCCCTTTTTTTTCACTTCAATTAAAAAATTCTGTCTATACAAAATAACTGTAAAAAACATACATTGCTTTTAAAGTATCAAAAAATATTTGATAATGGCCTTCTTTATGTGATATTATTGTATAACAATAAAAAGGGTCAGCTAATTCAATTTTCATGTATTATTGTGTGATTGGTTCAACCAGGTAAATACTTGCATACATTTAGAGACGATGTTGGAACAAGTATTGACAACAATCAGTCATATTCAATGTGTTGACAAAGTTGTTAACTGTTCGTCGCCTATGATTAAATTATAATAGCTCAATTCGTTTTGAACCTTTCTGCAGATGTTGTCTAGGAGGACGATAGCTTCTATGCAATTAAACCATTTAATTCAAAGAACATATCTTCATAAAAATCATCCTCCTAAGTTTTTAAAAATTTAGGTCCAGGTTTCTTTTTTTGCTAAGTAAACTTTTTGCAGTTGTCATCAATCCTTCTGAATATATGTAAATCCAATAGAGTGGTATATATCACATCTTTCTCATTGTATTTGAAATCTAACATCTGGTTAAGGAGTAATAAAAACTGCAGGACGTTGGCTTGAAGTTCATTACTGTTAATTTTCAACCAGCGGGTCACTTATCCAAACCCAACTACCTCTTTAGCATCACTTACGTTCATTTAGAAAGTGTAGCTTAAATATGGGGACATAAATCTGTACTTGATCATTGAGTTGAAAGTTTCCAGAGGAATAAATTGCTCAATTCAAAATTAAAACAGCCAATTTTATAAAAAAAATTGCTTCTAACGTTCATATCGATTAGAATAATTAATTGTAAACTATTTAGAAGTAGGCTAACTGTCTTCTTTAATGTTTCTTTCTTTTCACTTGTATTTAGGCTTTGGAAAAATTCACACCACCAACACATACTTATGAAGTTTGTGCCAATCGATTATTATTGAACGAAGCGATGAGTGGTACAGATTGTCCAAATGCATTGCCATTATTTAATAGACCTAAAAATCGATCATCTCAACAGCGATCTTATTCAGCTACACAACTAATTCCTTCAAGGTATGAAATTATGATGTGTTTTTTTTTGTTATTCAATAAGAAAGTCCTTAAAAATTGTAAATATTCAATACTCAGACTCAGGATTCATGGGTAGATTTTATCGAATGGAGAATACATAATTACGTGAAATCATAAACAGGGAGGTCGGTCAAATAGAACATCGGTAAAGCGCAATGATAATCAATACAGTCAATAATACTCAATATTATTAGAATATATGTTACTAATATTGATAGTGGAATGAAGTCAATAAAAAACGTTATGCATTCTCTGTTGCATTCTCATCGGCGTTCAATCGTTAAGTTTTTTATAGAACCTTAAGAAACGAACTTGTCTAATCTTCAGGCAAATACATTTAATGCAATTACAGTTAATAAAGTCACATCAATATAAGTTATCTGTGATTAACCTCGTGTAAATGTTAGATGAAGCATAGAATTGAGTAATTTACGAATAATTAATATTTAAACAAAAAACTTATACAAGACACTCACCTATGACAAATTAACGTAATCCATACTGTACTATTTGCAGTTAAAATTAAGACGTAATCCAATCAATGAAATAGTGGATGCTAAATCACTGTAATTTATCTTTTAATATGCTAATCAGATATTTGAGATGTACTGTTTCACGTATGCATTCACACTTTCTAAGAGCTCCATTCACTTAGGTTCATGTGTTTGATATAGACAATCGTCAGTTTGCTTCTCTCTATTTCAACTTCTTTGATTATCATAGTTTTCGATTAGTTTTTTGTATCTTATGTCATATTCTTGTTGTTTTTGTTGAGAATTAATTACTTTACTACACTTTCAGTTCATCATAATCATTTACAACAAATAACGATCAAACGATCCATATTGATTGATCCCAGTAGAATCGTAAATTACTACTCTGTAAGATTATTTATTGACACTTAATAGTAGTAGTCGTAGTAGTAGTATGAGTTAATTTTTTTTCTAAAATATATCTACCATATGTGTAAGATACAAACTGATAGCATTTATGATTTTTAGGTTTTTAGTGGTTCATAATCATTTCCCGTATTATTCAATATTACTTTTAATCATTCAAATTTTCAAATAAAATGCAAGTTTCTTGTACCATTTGTTGTGCAAGCATTGGAAACTGTTGTTAATTTTCAATTTGTAGGAAAATTAGAATAGTAAATAATTTCCTTTTTTGAATAATATATTGATAATACCTCACTGATATTTATATACTTTTCAATTTTACCAACTTATAATTAGATGTTTGGTTGTAAAAGTACATAAATCTTTCGATTTTCACGTATTTCAGCTTAATAATGCTTCATTCCTTTCATAAGTGTTGTGGTATTTGTAATTCTTTTCTTGTTACTCTTGTATTTTGTTCCCTTTTTTATTGATTGTCTTGTTTTCACTAAAGATCCTTCTCTTCTTCCTACCATTATATTTCACCATATTCACTAAATTTTTGATCGTTGAGCAGTATTTATTACCTTTTTTTCGAAACTTAAATTTCATTCTGATCATTTTCAGTTGTATTCGATAGTTATTGTAATAAAATTTGGCAGGGATCTTCTTCATTCTTGATTACTCGTCATTATCATCCCTAGGATAGATTGTTATTGAACATCTTTATACATCTATTTTAATTATCTGATTTACTGAAATTATGAAGCTGATGAATAGAAAACACCTTGGAAAGTTAGAGAATACTATTCAGCCAATCAGGGCGCTGAATAGTTGTTTCATTTTCGTTTGTTACTCCATAATACTGGTTCATATAGTATTGAGCTTATAAATTTCAGGTTCTGTTTTTAGTTTCATTGTCATTCATGCTTTTTACTTCATTGATAAACGTATTAGCATTCCGTCGTTGTTAATTTTGGAACCTTTTATCAATAAAGTGATTTGTAAATTGATGTAAGTTTATGCATTTCTAGTTAAATACTTACGTATATGTGTGTTGAGGTGAGGGTTGTAGGGATTATAATTGAATACAATTGTAACTTAAGTTCCAGTTTATAGTTCGTCGATTCATTCCTGTTTTCAACTGTAGAATAAAAGTTAATTATGCAACTAGATAGAGGTTTTTTCATACTTCAATCTTTTTGTATTTTATTACTTTTATGTTATTGTTGCGGACGTTAGATCCCCTGAACTCACTTGATAAAGGTCTTAATATTGCATTTTATTCATGGGCTGATCACATCTCCCACCAGGAGAATCCTTGGCGGTGATTGGTTGATGCGTTATTTTAGTACGCTATTTTTGTGGCTCTCCCAGGGACGCTTCCATGGTGTATAAATAAACGCGATTTGTGTACGTGAGATCATTATATTTTCTGGGTGCTTGTAGAATACACTTTCTACGCCATATCAAGACTTTTTCTTCAGTTAGTTGGGGCAACGGATCAGAGTAGCCTATCATGTCACTGGTTCATTGTCTCGTTCTCGTTTATCGACTAAGGTGAACTCGTAATAGTTTCAAGCATATCAAGTAGCGAGCATAACAGTTATCTTGATGATTAGTCTGGTTTTAAAAAGTTAGTTGTAAAAATTATTAGTGGAACTCTTTCTACTCTTTGTTTGTGAAAGCCACTATTTTCGAGTTGAAATTGTTGTTTGTTGGTGATTTTCAGCCCGGAAATGAGTTTTTAGTAAGAGTATATATTTTTATTTTTAATGATAATTAATAATTTTTTATTGACTACTTCATTAAGATTTTTATTGTCAACTCAGTTTTAATGTACATCAGAATTATTATCATTAAGTGTTTATGACTTTCACTTTTTTAAAGAAAGAAACAGACCAATAATGAAATTAATTTTTGTTAACATCTCACTAATTAAAGTAAAAATTCGCATTTCTGACTTGATGCAAGTTACTTCTTCAGAGTGAAAAAAATTCGGCAACCGAAATATTTTTCACGCAACTACTTCATGTCACAAATTATATATTTCTCTTACCTTTCATACCCTCACACAGGATCACTTTGACCGAAAATCACATGAGATTAACAGGTTTTAGACCTATCCTGATTTCGATTATACTAAAAATATTCTACTTTATTTCCCTTTTTACTAAATAAACTTTTATTAATGCATTTCGGTCATTTATTTATTTACTCTGAAGAATTGATTTGCCTTAAGTCACGAAACATCAGAATGACAACTTTCTACTCATTGGAATATTATATGAAAAATTGTTATTATTATTAACTTTCCACACAATGCCCAATTTATTTAAAACTATGAACTCCAACCTTGATATTGGTATCTACGAAGAAATAGATTATTTTAAAAGAAAAAGAACCTTCCGTTTTCCCTTACTGAACTTTGTATTCTTTAAAAAAAATACTGTTCTCTTCTCCGGGAGTAAACTAATTATATAACCAGTTGAAATTTCCTAATCTGTTAATCCCAGTTCAGTAGTCGTCATTAAAAATTGCCACGCATTGAATTAATATTGTTTCCCCTTTTATTTACCAAATCGATTTTTCCTATATATTTTTGAATAACATGAAAAATGATTGAACTAGGAAAAAAAATCTTCATTTTTGGTTTCAATTATGTTTAATCGATTATCAACTAAATACCAATAACTTTCCTTTATTCAGTGAATTGACATCAATAATTTGTGTATAAGAATATCACGAAATGTCGATTTGTTTTTCCTTATTCTATTATTATCTGCATGTCTTGTAGAAATAAACTCAAACTTCAAGAACGACGTCATGTTCGATCTCGTGCGTGTTGGTTTCCTGTTAGGTATATATATACTTATACTCATAATGATTGTTACAATATACGTTTGTGTGTGTGTGTGTGTTAATGCCGTAACCGCACATACAATAACATATCAACTTAACTAACCTTATTTTATGACGAGTATTATTACTATTATTATTATCTTCAATGAATTGGTTCACGTTTTGTTTTTGGTTTGTTTACAATACTCATTATTTTACTAATGATAATGTGGGGGGCAGTAAATTTACCAGTTGTGTATTTATCAGTTTATAATTTATCTTTCTTCTTATTTTTTTTAACTTTTAACCATTAAAAAAACTAAATAAAATTCTGTTTTGTGGTTCAAGATATTTACCTCTATGTGTTTTCGAATTATTGCGTTTTTTGTCGGTTAATCAATATATATATTGCATAAATTTGGAGTACAATATATCATCGGTTCATAAAATCATCGATAGTTAGACTGAATCGTATTGGTCTGTGCACACGATTATTGTAACCGATGGTTGGAATGTTTCATTTCACGAGTTTATTCATTCTTCTCAGTTCAGATTGTTTCTACTGAATCGTTCCTATTGCTGATGATAATAATATAATGCTTCTGCAATACCAGGATTTGTCTCAAAACGATTTCATTTTATGTTTTGATATTGCTGTGAAGACTTGAACCGTGTCAGGTGCTACATTGTTTATAACTAATTGGGGAACTAAGAATACAATTACTTATGTCGTCTACAAAAATACCTGTTGGTTTACTGTGTACTTGTTTTTCACACTAAATGAAAGTACTCTCAGCAAAATAATGTACTCTCTGCTTTTATAGTTAAAACGTGATTATCTGGCTCTTACTTTTCAAACCAAGCACAGCTTAACGTAATCGATGAACATCTATATTTATTTATGATGGTGGTAATGAGAGATTATCGATTTGTTTTACTTTTTATCTGATTATGGTTGTATCCTGTCAACTAGTAACACAGTAATTCTTATTCTGATACATCTCTGTGATAGGGAATTGATCATTTAATAACAATTATACGGATAATATAAATTATATTTGACTGTTTGCTATTTTTAGTTAAACTAATATCAAGGATAAAAGTGAAGTTCAACATGAAGTTGACTATAAATTAGGTTGTAAGCAATGATTATTCTATGATAATTATATGCGGTATTGTAAATCCATAGTCAGACAATGGTTGATAATAAAAAGTAAATCAAAAAAATTTTAAATAACTGATTGGTGTAATAAAGTTACTAATATTCGGTTTCTTTCCTTATCGATTTAAGTTATTTCAGAAAAATTCGACCTGTCTGTCCACTTAAAGTTAAAGGTCAAATAGGGGACACAATTTTGTACTTTATCGATACTGATTATTATTTTGTGTATAGTTTCACCGTTTTTGATGTTTTGTATGAGCAATGGAATACCTTGGTGTATTGTTTAGTCTGAAATTATACAATGGCCGATTATAAAATTATATTTCTTTGACCTAACTAAAAGCGTTATAGTACTGGTCCCCTTATCATACTGGTTTTATTATTACAGAGATTAACACTAAGTCCTTACTGTGTTGCAGCTCTCTGATATTGACTTACAGTTTGCCAATCATGTAGTGGCATCATTGTATGGATCAGTTTCTGTACCCTCTATGGAAATGCGAGTTCTAGTTGAGCGTAGTCGTTTAACATAAACATAAGTGAATAGTTTTCAGACGGGTTCGAATTAGAATCACTGTAACTAGTGGAATTAAAATTGTAAGTAGGATAGTAACTAACTGATCATATTTGATGAGGATTACGCTACGTTTCAAACTAACTAAAGTTGAAAATTTGAACCATTGCATTTCGAATAATCGATTTTGGATTCTGCAAGAGCGGACATCACACTAGCAACTGTACTTGGGTGCCTCAATAACATATTGTTTCGGTCATGGTACCCTTTCCAAAACGAAAGAAGAGTTAGAAAAGGTTGACCCTGAAAAATTATCTCATTCTTGGCGCCAGTGATAGTGCTGATATTAAAGAGATAATATATCTAAAACGATTTGAAAAAAGGACGCTTGTGACTAGACATAAGGCCCTGTGATCGCGTTGCCAGGTAGTTGACCATGCGACCTAATTTCCTTCCTAGGTGTCTCCAGAAAATATGTCCTTACACAATATGGGTAACCGAGATGTGACAACCATACACTCACCTTTAAAAGCAGTTGACCCCATCTTGTTCTTCATGCCGTCTCTAGATTGTGGATCATTTGTAGATGTTATTGAGATATCCCAAACTAAGATATAACAATAAACTTCTGTTTGATAAGTATTCATTCTTATCATAGTCTACACATTTTTTCTATCGTTTGATTAATTGCTTTAGATCATTTGTGATTTTATCAGTAATCCAAGCTAAATCTCACTTAATATTGCAGATACTAATGAGTGATATGTTGTTTTTGTACATTTTCTCGTGGATTACATAACTTATTTCTCATTTGTATACTTCTTGTTTGTACGCTACTATACTGCTAACCATCTTATCTCTATTTCTACATTTTATGACTAATTAACGAGTGCGATTCGTTTTTGATCAGTGGTTTAATTTGTTTTGTTTTGTTTTGTTCTAAGTTTTATTTTCGTTTGAATTTCTACGAGTTCAATTTTCAATTGTAAGAGTTTATTATTGGTTGGCCTTATTCTTTAATATTGACGAATTAACAAATAAGACAAAATGAAGTGTATTTCTTTGAATTGTTCCCATTTCGTTTTGTTTGTCTTTTAATATAAAACATTTTTCTGTTTACTTCCCACTTCTATTGTGAATTTTATTTCTATCATGAAAACTAAATTAAACGCATCACATCGTCTCCTGTCCTACGTATAAATAAAGATATTTTTCAAATTTTTTCTTCTTAAATTACAGTTCTCCTATGCAAAATCATCCTCCTACAATCGATGATGACTCTGTCAGTCTACATCCAACAAATAGTTTACATCATCTCCTTGATGATGTTAATACAAATTATGCCTCGAATTACAATAATAGTAATCGTCTTCAACAGCACAATCAGTCGAAGATTTTACGAGCTTCTGTAGGTTTTCGCATTTCATTATTATTATTAATATTATTATAGACTAATGGATTTCGGCCTGTTATGTGCGCAGTCTATTTGACTAAATGATGAATTACATACTGATAGAGATTAATAAAGTGATTTAATCAGACACTATTGGTCGAGTTATTTTCTGAACAGCTGGTTGTAGATTAATCAGTGTTCTAATCATTATATGATATCTAGACGTATAAAATAGAATATATGTATTTAGATACTACATATACAGTATATGTATAGCAACCTGAACTTCTCTAATTGAAATATAAAATCTTCCACAGTTAAATTATGTATTTAAGGCATGTTCTTCATTTCAGTCAGCAAAATGTTACATATATAACTTGTTTAGTAAACATTAGGTAAAATGAGTTAAATTTCTTATTTTCATCATTGAACAGTTAAGAAATAAGGGGTTAACAATTTTTCGAGGGAGTGCGATATCGTCTGACCACACATATATATTTATGGCTGACAACTGGAACTTAACAAAAGTCCATATTCTTAGTTGTAAGACTTATTGGTTCAAGGTCACATTATATATTCGAAGTGAAGAACTTTTTTACATATCTAGTTATGCTATTGTTTTTTCTCTCTTTTTGATTTTCATATGTTTGGTGTTAACTTAGATGGATATAACTTCAAAGGCTCCAATGATGTCATCAACATCATCCTCAGCTTATTATGGTAAGTTTTTTTGTTATTTAGTTTTAGCCGCTTTTTTTGTTTAATCAATGGTCACTTTGTTTTACAGATGTAAACAAATAGGTAGATGTTGTGGAAGAGTTTTTTTCCACTTGCTATGTTTAGTGTTAATGTAGACTGAATCTCAAAATTGGTTAATCAACTTCTAATGTTTTATAAAAATTCATCTACTTTCTTTCCACATGTATTTATATCAACTGGTAACATGACAATCTCTATTCCATTTAGTACTCTGTTGCTTTTTCAATATAAAAAGCATCATACCATTCATGTAGTTTGAACAAGATGCTTTCAAGTACTGTTAAAAACGTGTGCGGCGTTATCAATAAAAACGTGGTAAGGAATAGTGGTAGTCTTGTCGAGCTGACAACTTCATCACCGGACCAAAGAGACAACTGCTTGAGGCCAGCAACAGGCATTTTCATGAATCATTTCTGACTTCGAACTTTCACGCTTTACCATCGACGTGTATCCGAGTGAGGTATTGTATTTAGAGTCGACCTTTCCAAACTCCCCTCTTTCTGTTGGTTGAAGGCAGGATTGCTGGAGACACTGGTTGTCTGGAGGAAACGTATCACTACCGTCACACCAATACCCAGTCGACGGTACCACTTCTCTCTCACACCTTACGTCTACTGATTTTAGGTTTTTTATTTTCTAACAGACCTTGCTTACATGATAGAGACTAGTGTTTCAGCAAGCATGTCTCCATTGAACTATCATGAGAAGCAATCCTGACAATTTATGTAATGTTATACGTGACGAAAACTTGGAGTCTGCTGATGTTTAATTTTTAGCTGTTCTACACACATAAAAATTCTATATACTAGTTTTTTCAAATTTATTCTAGTGTTGCCCGATCCTCATTACGTTCTTGTTTTATATATTGGCTTTTGTTTGTAACAATATACCTTTCAATAATTCAAATTAACACATTTTCATCCAGTAAATGGATACATTTTAATGAATAGTTCATTCATCGTTTGATCATCATCATAATTCTATTTTATTCTTCTGTGCTCGATAAACAGTACTGATTATTTGGTGTTTTGTTTTTACTTGCATAACAGTTATTGTAAATAGAATAGTTGAATAAATTAATATTTGTTATTCTACTGTTGTATCAATTATTTTTGTGGGCTTTTTTAAAGTTCTTAACAGATGAATTTACGCGCAATAAAGATTTAACCTATACTGTGTATTTTACACATTTGTTCATATTTTCCACAAAATGTTTTTCAGTCTTTAGATTTTTTACGTGTCAGCAGTCTCAAGTGGCTGGGGATAAACTCCACTATCGTTTTTCATTTTGACGTACCTTGGAACAAATCAGACTGAAGCGGAAATGTTTATTTTTGTCTCAAAGCACCCATTATTCATAGTATTCACCAAAGGTGTTCTTACCTAAAGCCATAAACAATGGAAAGTTTTCTACTACAGGAGTATCACTCCATCCTGCTACGGACGTGTCACGTATAGTTTAAAACCATCATTATGATAGAAAAATTACGATAGCAAAAATTACACTTCCATTTAATTCTATAATTAAAATTAACCCCATGTATAATTTAGTGATTAAATGAGCGAAACCATGACCGTTATTACTGACTACGATACTTTTGAAATCATGAATCGATCAACGTTAAACAACCGTTAGAAACCTGGGAGCACTGGATGACCGTTTCGTCCCGGTATGGGACTCATCAGCTGTGCACCTCCACGACTCGCGCACCTCGCAGGATTCGAACCCAGGGCCTTCGGTCCCGCGCGCGAACACCTAACCCCTGGACCACTGAGCCAGATGCGCGTTGCTGATGAGTCCCATACCAGGACGAAACGGCCGTCCAGTGCTTCCAGGTTTCTAATGGTGGTCTCAATTTGGTCGATTCATGATTTCAAATGTGTAACTTATCAAGCTGCACAACCCCGTAATACGATAATTTTAGCTGACGTGGCAATCCGGAATCTCATTTTCTGTTTGTTTACTTTTTGTATGTTGTTTCATGCTACTTATTTTAAATTATAAGTAACTAGATTTAAGTTCAATCATTTCCACACGTGTCGAGCGTCCTCTTATTAGAAACAATTAGTTCTTTATAAATTTTGACAGAAACAATTTGTTATAACCTTGAATTTACCCTGGTAATCTTTGAGCCATTGTAAAGCCTACGGTAATGTCGCAACTTCCTACCCTTTCTTATTCTTTTTATATTACGTTAATCTTCTTCAGTTAAATTTATCGCCTTATGTCTATTTGAACTTTTATTAATCATCATATAAAATGCCTTGACAAGTGAATATTTATGAACAGTTTTTTTTTAAATATATAACGTCCTCTTTTTGTTGGAAAAAGTCTTTCATTATCCTAGTGTTGTATTAGTCCATCTTCCTACATAACTTTAGTTCCACACCATGTAGAAGTTTTAGATATTAAATAAATTTTAGAATTTAATTGTTTCTATTATTATCATGCTCATTTCTTGTGCTATTCAGATTCAAAGAATCGTTTATTTACTGACAAAAAGTATTCTTCACAATACCTAACCAATATACAACAGACAAATTGTCCAGTGATCAATGAATCTGTAGCCAAAAGCTCAACATGTACTTTAAAATCAACTACGGTATGTATATTTATATTAATAAAAATTTGTGATTAGGTATCTTATTCCACAGTTAAACGTATAAGTAGATGCTTTTTTTGTATCAAGCTATAACCGTACACAATAATTTGACAGTATTTCCAACTACATTTATTTCATATATATATATATATATATATATATATATATATATATATTCACTGTTAGAGTTTACCTTGTCTAAAACTGGTACAAACGATCCGAAGGCAGATTTTCACTACAAACTAGAGAGTCATAAAAAAATTACAGAGCACTGTTTTATTTTCCTTTTACACTACTTCTCAACGTTTTACCTCTTCAGAAACATATGAAGTCGAATAAAATGTCTTTTAGTCTTTTCAGTAGTACCAATTAGTTTTCCAAATTCAATCCAATCAGTCCTTAGTTTACCAAGCTAATCTACTATATTAAATTTGTTAACCGCTTTTTATTTGCCGTAAATTACGATTTTATGTAAATAATCTACATACTACCTAAATTTACATAGTAGTAGAAGTAGTGTGAAACAAAAATTAAAACATTGCTCTGTAATTATGATTTTACTTATTTTTCGTTTCTTGATCAGTACCAATTAGTCATAAGTAAATTTAAATGATGAATTTTAGCAATAACCTTGCGTATATGTACAGAGGCTCAAGTCAACATATAACGTTACGTTCATAAAATAACATGGTAGGAATGATAACGAGAAAAGTTAAACTCTGAGAAAATGGCTGAGAAAGAACAAATAAGATGGAAAGTACATTTGAAAGAATACTAGAATTAAGGCACCATTGAGACTGATTTTGAGTCATATCATTTAACGACGTTATCGTGTAGACTAGATTTACTTTGTTACCTCAAATGAAATATTTCCATTTCATCAGTAACATTTGGACATTTAGATTTAAGTACACTGATCTTCTATAGTCACTTACAACGTATAACTTCGTACGTATGTACGTACGTACGTACATCAATTAAAGTGGCCATACCACATTAGCATAGGGACGCAATTGTCAATTCAAATCCCATAGTAGTAGAGGTAGTAGAAGCATTAGCGGTAATCAAAAGGATTAGTGATCAGATATATCAGTTAAAAAAAAGGAAAAAAAACAGTCATTTGGGATTCAAAAGATTAGGTTTTGAGAGAATACAAAGAATGGATGCACGTGCGGCATCGCAAACGATTTAACGCCATGTCGTTCAAGGTCGATTATCATCGATTACTATCATCTCGCGGACCCCAACCAGCTAGTTTTATACCTACCAACACGGCTCAACCCACTTGTCAGTGACTTCATAAATTTGTGCCATATTTTGGTTTGGCCGTCTCTAGCTTTCCTCCGACCCACTCCTACACAATAAACGTAGCTAGTCGAAGCAGTCGATGGTTGGACATTCCTAACACATGTCCCAACCACCTCAACTGCTGAAGATTCAGTACTTCATCATTTGATTTACCATCTTCACCTAGTAATCCTTTCCTAACAGTAGCATTTCTTACTCGTTTGTCTCAGTGTGTACGAGCAATGCTTCGGAGATACCTATGGTCGAATACTAATAGCCTACGAGTATTTTCTACTCTGTTTGGTCATGTTTCACAGCCATAAAGTAGGACGAAGCGAACTGCTGCACAGTAGACTCGTTTTTCGGTAAGTAGACGGATATCTCGCTTAAGCCATAAGTGACGCAAGATGGCAAAATCAGTCGAGCCTTCTGTATGCTTGCTGAGATTTTGTCAGTCACCAGGCCATCAGCCATTAGCTCCCACTCGAACTGTAGTGTTCGAGTAGATAGCCTGTTTAAGGTTAATGTACTTCTTTGGTACACCTTTTAATGACTGACACTGCCACAGAACGTCAGGTTACACAGAGTCATATTCCGCCTTAGGATCGAGAAATATTACTATTGTGGGGCGTCTGTGGGTGTCTTTATTCTAGGACACGAGGTAGTGCGAATATTTGGTCTATTCATCCACGTTCAAGTCGAAAACCAACATGGTTTTCTCTAGTCTGCTCTTCAAGAGCTTTAGTTAGGCGTCGAAGTATTATTGAGGCCAATATTCTGGATACTATATTGGTTAGACTGATTCCTCTGTGATTGTCGGAAGAGGATTTTTGTCCATCCTTATAAGTTGGGACAATCAGTGATTGAGACAAGTCAGATAGGATTTCGTCCAGTTCCCAGATTCTACCTAAGATCTCAGTCAATTTAGCTGCTAAACCTGGACCACCATCCTTACAAATCTCAGGGGTCAATCTCTCAGGCCCTGCTGCTCTCCATCGTTTTAAATTTCCTATAGCTTTTTAGACTTCATAAAGACTTGGAGGACTTAAATCGATTTGCCTTTCAGGATGACTGGAGATTGTGGGCAACTGAAGTATGGCTGAAGGCCAGTTGAATTTATCCTTGAAGTATTCTGCTCATCAATCTATTTTCCTAGGTCGAGAACGAGTGACACGGCCGTCCTTTTCTGAGATAGTTTCGCTAACAGATGGGTTTCTTATACCGATTTTCTTGATAAGATGCAAAAGTTGTCTACTGTTGCCTATCGCCGCTGCCTTTTCCATCTCCCTCGCTTTCGCCACTCACCAGTTCGCGATCACTGCGTAGAGGCTTCTTATCAGCCTGCGCTTAAGCTGACTTTGCTCTTCGACATGTTCACAGCCAAACGTGGTGAGTTTCCGAGCATATATCATTTCGGTGGATGCTAATGAGATCTACGGTTCCTTCTTAACTAGTTTACCTCACTGGCAGATATCACTATTGTTTCCACAGCTTTTCGGATATCGTTTGAAGCTGCCTTGTGGTATGAATTACTTATCTGGCCGCCTAACTGCTGTTGCTACTGAAATGTATTCTTAGCTAAGTTATCATTAAGTAAAACCTGAAGTAGTTTCCTTGCAGTGTCTTCCCAACGTCCAGTAAGACGTAGACAAATACACGTTCGTATTAGATCACGATCTGAATCTAAACTTGTTGTCCAGAAAGAGCAGCAGTCTTCAATAGAATCTGTCCACTGGTGGCTGGCAGCAATGTGATCTAGTTTGGTCCACCGTTAAGACGACGTTGGGGTCTCCATGGTAAAAGATGTTTTTCCTTATGCCTTAAGTTAGTGTTTGCTTGAAATAGGTGATTATCTGAGCATAGCTGCAGCAGACGGTCGCCATTGTCTTTTCTGTGAGTCGTGACACCATAAGATCCACCCAGGTGTCTTACATTTTCGCTTAGTACGAACCTTGAATGTACCTAACTTAATGGTTGCTCTGGTTGTTAGAAGGGGTCTCGGCCTCGTGACTTCCAGAGGAACTTGGCTGTCTTCATGAGACGTCGTAACACTTACTAAATGAAAACCTTCCAACTCTCGAGGCAGAGTTTAAATGCTCCGAATCATTCTTTCTAGTTAGCACTTTTTTAGCCAGTTAGTTTCCACGGGGTGGGGTCGCTAACCCTACACCCAACCCTCCTTTATCCGGGCTTGGGACCCAAAGTAGCCCTGGAGGGGCTCCAGACTGAGTTTTTGATTTGATTAGACAATATATAAAATGCGTTCGTACACATGAAGGTATAAGGAAATATTAGCTACTATTGTCGGATATGCATAGTTAATGGTAATCCTGCAAACTACATTAGGTGTCTAACGATTCTAATGGAAAAAAAGGCTTTACCATGTCATGTATGATCCAATTCTGATTAGAACATATGACCAATTTATCAAGGGTTTGTAAATTCTCGTTATTGATAGTCAAGACTGCAATTTACCCGTCACTTTAACCATATGCTCATCCTGGCGTCAATAGATAACGCGTTCGGCATATGAAGTGATAAATACTGGGTTCATATTTCAATGTGATTATCAACAGTGGACTGAAGATTCATCTATTAAATGTGCACCATAGATTCTACTGCTAGCTATCAATATACTTAAATTTAAAAAGCCTTCTTTGTTACTTTACTTGGAAAGTTCTGATAGTACTGTTGATCTATTTATCTCATTTTATTACCCTTTTTTATGTTTCAGTCTCAATCCGATGATTTGAATTCATGTAGATCAGCTGTCGAATCACTTCATGCTCTTCGTGTAGCATTAGATTTAGCGATTAGTCGATTGACTAAATTATCTTGTCACAATCATAAAAGTGAAGAACATGCAAATCTACGTCAAATTGTTCATGAAGAACTTGAATGGCGATTTTCTCGTTTACGTGCTATGCTTGGTCTATCACCAGTTTGTGTTGAAGCACCAGTTGCTCGTGTATTAATTGCAGATATTGTAGAAAGGTTAATTCCAGAATTAAAATCAGCTTCTTCATTGTTAGACAATACAGATGCTTTAAATAACAGTAATAATACTATTACTAATGATAATGATAATGTAAATATCAATAATCCGGATGATGAATTAAACACTGGGAACAAATCACAATTCCGCAAGTCAATTGATTTATCCGATACTTCTGACTATAATGGGTTGAATATTAATTCAACGATCTTGAATCATAGAACTAAAAATATTGTCGATTGGGATAGTTATATTGAGAATAATAATAATAATCATAATAGAGAGACGGATGAGAAAATGAGTGATGCAACTCAGTGTGGAGAAGAGGATGATGACGACAATGGTGATATTCAAGAAATATGTATACAAGAAACTCAAACTCTTGATACTACCTAAAAGAAAATGTTCACACTATCGGTCTTTCCTTTGCTTTTTTTTTAATTTTAATTTTTGTTCAACAACTCTTGTTATACTGTAGACATACAGCTTATCTTTCATTTTATTGTTGAAGTTAAACGACTGTGTATTGTTTGAATTTCAATGAATAACTATTGAACAGACAGAATTAAACACTTTCTAGATAATATTTATGCATTTAGCACCTTTTTCAAAATAGTGTTTATTCAGAAGAATTTTCGAAGAGTAGACATGAAATAGTTATGATGTGTGTAGGCATAGTCTTGCATATTATATCAATATTGAATGGATAATTGTTGATTGGCCATATTACTACTATTAATAATAATAATAATAAAATCCTCAATCCTATTTGTTATTCCTCTATATATTCGCGTATATTGTTGATACGTGCATGAATATATATATATAAAACATTACGAATACTTTTGTTTCAACTTCTCATCGAAAAAGCCTTGATGCTTCTTCCTGTAATATATCTTAGCTATTTTGAATGCATTTCACTGTGAATTGAAAAAGTACACTACATACATAGTTAAACAAATAATCTTTGCGTGCTTATTCAAACATAAACACCATTATTTGACCAATTTGTATGCGTTATTTGAATAAATTCAATTTATTTCGCCATTATTTCTTTCTTTTTTTACATAAATGTATATTTCTCATATAATATCTTGTTAATTTCTTTATTATTATTATTACTGTTACTTATTATTTCTTTTTAAATAATTTCCTGTTCTTTCAACTAAAATCCAATTCGGCAATCTTTGTTATTTATTGTTGAGTACTTTGATTATCTTGTTTGTATATGTCTAGGCTTACCTATTTATTTACTTATTAATTCATGCATATGGAAATTTTGCTACTGTATGAGAATTTGTTTTCGTTTTTTTGCCTTTTCTTATTTCATTCTATTTAAGAATGATAATATTTCTACATTTATATATATATCTATTATCTTTCTTTCTATTGAAATTATCAAGAATTTATTTCTCACAAGTAATTAATTCATTTTCTTCTGCATTGATTGATAAAAACTTTGTAGAGAAAAAAATATTACCAACTTGTGTATGTAGATATTTATATTTTTCCAAAAAAAAAACATATATATAAATACAACTGCTCTTGGAATTTCTGCCAACTACAATAATTACTATCCATGTTCGGGAATTCGTTTAATACATTGATTATTCGTATGACTATTTAAGTGAACATTTTTAGAAAAGATAAGATTTGATGAGATCATTTCTTAAGTTGACTTATAGCCTAATTGTTTTTTAATTCAGTCCTACCGACGTCCGAATTCAAATATTCCAATACGACCCAAATACTATTTATTCTCAAATCTCCTATATATCAGAACGCAACACCGTTAGATGAAGTTGTTTAATGGGTCGAGTACAGAAGAGAGGAAGACAGGAAGGAACGGAATGAAAAGCTTTACAGGTAATGCGTATTTATACATTAAGGTCGAATAGGAAAGAGTATCGAAGTCTGTGGCACTGACAGTTAAGACGACCAATAGGAACCAACATTGAGGTACGTGACATTGATGTCTAGGACGACCATAAAATTAACCAGTAGGAGAATTAACCAATAGGAATTGACCAATAATTCTCGCAGGATATTGCATGAATATCCTAACACTAATTTTATTTAATACACAAAATTCTATGTATCTGAGCAGTGAAAATAGTATTGGAAGCTACGGATAAGATATTTGTTATGTAGTTAGTATCCAGCATTGAATTTCATTCATTGATACAATAACTAACCGAGGAGTATTAGCTGGATTTATATCAGGATTATGCACATGTTCAATTCTAAATAGTTCGAATCAGGGATTCAATTATCCTTAGTTTTTTAACAAGTAGACTATTTAAACACAATCCTACCTTCTAATATAAAGTTGTCTTTTATCAACGCAATTTAGTCATCAAAATGAAGAATAATTGGTCTAGTCACTAAAGTACGCAAATTTCAGATATTGATTCCAACTTGAACTAGGCCAGTATATAATCTGAAAACTGAGTGAACAATGAATGAATTATCTAAATTCACTATTATCAGTTGATTAGTTGACCTATTCAAATTATATCCATTTATTTGTAATGTCTTGGATTCATTATATTTTCATTCTGAGAAACTAAGTAGTAGTAAGTTGTTGTTGTTGTTATATAATTTAGTTTTTACAGTGTGCAGTGCACAAATTTGATGATGAATTTATTTTACAGAAATATTATCAGAAAATGAAAGATATCAGTGAGAAAACTAATTCGAAAATTGTGCTAATCCAATTAAGCATATATGAACTTTGCTCATAAAATAGATTTCAAATTTACAAGTGTAAAAATAGACAAATTATCATATTACATGTTTATTTGAATATGTTGAAGTAAATACATACAAGTTAGAATAAAATTAAGCTCATGGAACTAGTTTACCTGCACTCTTTGTTATGTAACATGTATGTTGTTGGGCTTAAAAAATGTTGGTTCATTTATTTTTCCTATACTGGAGTGGTTAAAACCAAATAGTCAATTTTACTAAAAGATTATCGTTTATAAAACTAATACATTCCCTTTCTTCTGTATAATCGCGTAACTTTATCTGACTTTTTTATAGATATGTTAGGTAAATCTACTTTGTACTCACTTTATTTTACATGTCTTCTATTCAGTACGTTTTATATATTACATATCCTAATCAAATATCTGAAATGAGATTTCAATCAGCATTCATTCATCTTATCAGTCAGTTGTTGCATTTAAAGAGGGAGCACTGACAGGTTCGTTAACAATCTATTCTTAACTCTGAAATATCGTTATACGTATGATCACTATCGTAAAGCGGTTATGAACACGTGTAAAATGACGGACACTATGTGAATACGATTGAACAAGTTTGTAGAGATTTATAAAATGAAGCTGTCACTTCTATCCAAAAAGGTTGACTAAACAGGAATTCGAAATACTTCTCAGTTGAGGCTGGACTTCTTTAACGAAAGTAAATAGGATCAAATAAAAATCTTTAAGGACTATGCATATTTTTGAAATGAAATAAAACGGTACTAGTCACTTCTTACAATGCGGAGGGTTATGTCTTTTTGAGTTAGGTTATAGAGAAACTCTTAAAGTTTATCCTCATGTGTTCTCATAGAAAAATACTCGCCAGATATTGTGGCGTAGTTTCGCTCTGAGCTGAATGTTTTGGTTGTGGAGCTTTCATTGCTCTACTGAACAACATCGTCAGCACAAACTTCACGTAAAGTGAAATATTTGGATTTCTCCACGTATGACTTGCCAGAGAACATACATATAATTAGCAGGATTCTATCAGGTGAGAAGATATGGCCAAGTTTCATAACTAACTCCAACCCTGCCCTACTACTGCTACATTGTATCTGTATAAGTGCCAAATTGCAATTAACTTATCCCAATACGAAATTAGTTATTCTTGATCGTCCCGAATTTCTACTGCAAATTTGTCTTGGCGCCAAATACTTAACGAATATAAGGATTTGTTTACCGGAATTTTCGCCTCTTCAACGAATTTCAATTAAGAAATCAGTTTGAATAATTTATTCATGTTTATTTAACTGATTATACACTGGGCTAGTACCTTAATATCTTCGAACAGTATTCTTCCTTTGAATAATTTCCTTTCATCGTTTTGAGGGAATATAGGAATTGGATCTAAATGATGTTCATGCTAAACTGTATATTGACTACGACTAACTTGGTATTGGTCGCATTAACAATTTCATTGTATAGATGCAGGTAATATGGAGGTATCAATTCAGCAAGCTTACATTTCGAATAGAAACTGTCTAAATTAGCATTGAATAATATGTTAACATTTATATGTGGTTGACTTTACAATTATAAAAGGTGAGTAATTTAAGAAATCGAAACAAATCCACTCCATACTGTTAACAAACATAGCAATGACAGTTTTCTCGTTTTATTCATCTGCTTAATAAATAACTCTAAGATACTAAGCAAACTTATTTCACCATAACTGCATAACATAGTTGAACAGCATATTTTAAGCGATCTTGTTATACACACATCTTTTTTTTATAAATATTTGTATACTGAAAGGAGAAGCATACTGATATAAAGATGAAAACAGGTCTGGTTTAAAAGTGAAACTCAAGGTCAGAGTGATGATGAAAATCAATTGTGCAATAGTTATAAGCCTTAATTTCTTCAAACTGTGATAAACTCGAGAATACGAACCCGATCGTATTTTAACTAGACATGATGATAATCTAATTATTTAAGTATTTCAGGATATTGTGGTTTCGAGGGTAGTTTGCATGACTGGCCAATTGACATCAAGCATAAAAATATTGAAAAACAAGTGAACAGTTACTTCGTACTAGTTTGGGACTACTCATTAATGAGAATTAACAATGGAATTTATGACCAGTTAAAGACGAGCATCAAAGATTTGAACCTGCTACTATTTAGATGCATAGTTGTATTACCACAGTTATAAAAGAAATTTCGCGCTTCCCTACGAACCATAATTTCACATAAAACCATGAGATCATAAGATACTGTAAAATAAAGGTGGACGTGTCTAAATGACTGTAAGGACAAGTAAATTTTCATGATTCAATGAAAGCAATAATATACATTGACTATTTACTACTGTAAACTAAAATTGTATTTTCAGCTAGTTGTGATTTTTTTTTCAACATTATGATATTTACTTAGTGTTATATTTATTTTATTTTAAGTATATTTTATTCAATATAACATTGAGTTAATTCAGTGTGATGTAAATCCAAAATATGATTTTTCTTTTTACTAAATTAGCGTGCAACATACGATTTGTAATAATTGTGGGTATTTTGTAGTGGTCCGTTGTTTTCAAGCATAAGTAATAGGCGACGCGGATGTAACATATAGAATGTCAGCTGTAGATATAACATTTATGCTGATGCTTATACAATGTATATAGAATGGTCAACTAAAAAATCTGCTATCATTTATAGGAGTTATATATATACATATATGAGAATTTATTAACAGATAGTGGGATAACCTAACCTCTTTAATGTGCCGACAAGCTAAACAGTGAGAACCGAAGTCGAAAGATACGTTACATAACATCGGACAGTAACTGCACTTTATTAAGTATCTCCACCTAGTTGAGGTCCCGAGGATGACACAACTCGATAGGTTGGTTCGTTATCATAAATAGCTCAGTTTAGAAGCCTGAGATAAACTTGATATCGTTTTTTCGGCGTCCTTTATTATAAAAAGAGCGGTTTCTTTAATTGAAAGAAGTCCTCCTTCATTGTATGCTTAACTCTTGCTATAAACTATTTTTTATGCGATTATGTTTCTTTACTTCTATGCAATGTTATCTCTGTCTGTGTGGCGCATACTTTTCTTGATGAATGGTTGTACCAGAACTTATGTATATCAAATAAAAATATAAAATAAACGTTTAAAGTTCCAGATTATTGTTTTGGGATATCTGTTTCGTAAAATACTGTAAGTACATTAGATTACTGATATAACTATAAAACTATCCTATTAAGAACTTAAAATACTAGAGTCAAGTAACAATTGATACCCGAGTTGAATTAATTATAATAACTAGTCTATAATTTTTCTTACAAATAAATTTTGCTCTACAATACATATTAAAGAAAATGAGCCTAATTAAATCAACTATCAGTTAAGAGAAAGAGGGATCGACAGACAGACAAAAATATCAGAAAGAACAGTCAACCTGGAACAGTAGTTGGCAGCCTGACTTGAAGATATGTAGACCATTTGAAATGAAGTTATATTTATTAGCAGGAAACGATCATTTTCTTCTATATTGTATTAACCTACACAATACGATAGGTCGCTCAGTTGTCTACTTGATGCTATGAGAAATTGATAGCTTTGCCACAGAATGCAGCGAGACAAGATTCACGCAGAGCTTCGGACACAGTCTAATTGAAAAATAAAACGGAAGTGAACATGAAAACAATTGAACCATTAGTTTCTTTACTTTTTGTGGTTTACAGAAATTCGGATCACAGCAATATGTATATATTAGAAATCAGTTATAACAAATATGTATTTTTATTATTTTGACTAAGCGAATGAAATGAAACAAGCATTAGAATTTCTTCATCAAATTTATTCATATAAAAACCATTTATTCAATCGCCTTGCCTACACTGGGGTCACAACTGGGGCACAATATCAATTATTCTTTGTCAGGCTCAGATTGGATGTGCTACATATGCCCAACCACAGACTGTCTCGACGAGCAATGTTTTGTGATGTCAGGGTAGGCTGGAAGAAAGCTAGGGGCGGCCAAACCAAAACACGAAACAAATCCATGAAGTCAGTTACAACTGGACTATTGGTGGATATAGACTACTTGGTCGGGGTTCACGAGACAACAGTAATCGATGGTTAGGAACTCTGAATAACATGGCTCAAGATCGTTTGCAATGGCGCATGAGCTCAGGACCTTTTTAATCGCTTTTTAAATTTATTTCCCTGAATTATACTTCTTGAATAATATCTTCGAATCCTAATCTTTTCCATTACCGCTAATACTTCTACTACCTCTACTTCTATGAGATTTGAATCGACAATTCAATCTCTTTGCTAATGTGGTAAGACAACTTGAACTGATGAACGTACGTACAAAGTTCTATGTTATAGCTGATTGAGTGACTGATTCACCATCAACTTAATGTAATTTCTGAAATGCTACGGTATTTAATGCATACTTAAAACCATTAGCTATATTATTAGGATTTATTTTTCAGGTTCCGACAACATTCTCTACATAACGTCTTGTTAAGTTTCCTTAGCGCTTGCTATCGAGGTGGAAGGAGTCTTAAAGCCGTATTTACCAATCGTAAAATTGAAGTAGTCATGAGAAACTGTAAGTAATCTTAGAATACTTGGCAAATGCAAGTCCACGAATTACTAATGCGTAGAATACTGTTAGTGAAACTAAAGCGACCATAAAACAAAAAAGATTGAGGAAAAGCGAAAAAAGCAGTACAAAGAGAAGGTCAAGTTCATTCAATTAGAAAACTAAAGGTAACCAAACAAACTGGAATGCACACACTGAAGTTTAAACTTTGCTAAATACTAGTGAAAATAATAAGGTAGAAGAAGTTTCACATACTGGTGCTAGTTAGTGGATATGAGTGTAGACACTAAAGGTTTAATTATCGATTCTCCTAATTTGTGTAATGAAGTTTTTTTATCTACAGTTGCAAACTAGGTTTGACTTTGACTGTTCAGTATGAAAATACTGAAGTTATGAAATTTTATTTCTGGTGATTGTGGCAAGAATCCATGAATAGGAAGAGGTTAAAACATATAACCTTCCAAATAGACCAGACATTAAAAAAGTTATTTGTTTCAAACGAAACCATACTACCATATGTAAATCACTATGGGTAACAAATGGTATGAAATAAAAATGATTTGAATATACACAGGAGCTGTAAGTTTTGAAACATGACTAACCGGATGGGCATGACAGACACGTGCAACATCTTCAGCTGAAGCGCCATATTCCATAGCTAATACTGCTTCGTTTATTAGTTCACCAGCACAAGGACCAAGTAAGTGTACTCCAAGAAGTCTGTCTGTATCTTTGTGGGCTAACGCTTTAAAAAGTCCTTCAGGCTCATCATTAGTTTTAGCTCTTGAATTTGCAGACATCGGGAACTTGCCTACTCTATACAACAACAAAAGAAATACATAACTTAATGGGTAGTGCTTGGACGAATGATACGTTAAGTATTGTATATATATTTATATTTTTAAAAAAAGATACAAAAATTACATAGAAGTAAATGAGAGACTGTCAAATAAAATAACTACTTACTTGTATGGAATATTTTCTGCTTTGCACTGTTCTTCATTTTTACCAACCCAAGCACATTCAGGATGAGTATAGATAACACTAGGAACACAGTTATAATCTATATGTACAGCGCCGCCAAGCATTCCTTCAACACAAATTATTCCTTCATCTTCAGCTTTGTGTGCTAACATTGGACCAGGTATACAGTCACCAATAGCATAAATACTTAAGATGATTTTAAGTAAGCAAAACAATTTGAAGTATTAAATTAGAATATAGAAACACAATTTCTATCAAGTTGTGTAAACAAATGAAAATAATTGTGAATTCCTGGATGAGTTTTACTACAATAAACCATGTAATAATAATGTAAGAAAAATCATACATACCATTCCGATTGTACAATCATTGATACTTTTTTTAGCCTTTTAAATCAACTATACAAATAATTTGAATTGTAATATGTTGTGAACATACATACAGCAACATTTATATTTATTATAATCGCATCTACTACGTTGGGAGAATATCATTACAGATAAAATAGAAGGATGTTAATGATGAGATAATAACAAAGACTGATGAAAATATTGGTTTTTTATATAAACGGTTCAATATCATTATGATGCATTTCAATCATGATTTGTTTCAATAGCTTAGCTACATTCACTATTCAAAATGGTAGTTTTTAGACATCCACTAATATGAGAATGGTTATAACAACTAATTGGTACTAATCTAGAAAAACTAGTGAACGAACAGTTAAGAGTACTGATTCGTTGCTATTCAGTTTATCGGCAACTTACAGTCTAGTACAAATGTGTGTCAGTTTAAATAGATATATTATATATCAGTACATCGAAAGAGAGAGAGGATTTGTAGATTTTTTTTAAAAAATGATAAAAATCTAAGGAGTAAACAAAACAGCACAAAATAATATTGAAACTCATGATTTAGAGATAAAGACAAGAAATTAATATTGTTTTTGCAGAGTGACTGCCGGCTCAAAGACAGGCTGCTTAAAGTTAGTTGTTTAGACATGAAGTAATATTTTTTAAAAATAGAAACTATATATCATTTTTACTACCATTGTTGAACTACTTTTGTCGGAATTTAGTGACTGAAGGTCACTATTCAACCTGTTTTAATTAGTTGAGTTTCGATACTTTAAGGTTCGTTTGAAATTAATGTATAATTAATATTTTTAAAAATCTCTTGGATTTTTTTATTTTAATGATTTTACTGAGACATTATCACAAATAATTTTTAGAAAAATAAATGTCTACTCATTAAATATTTGACTGAGTTAATTTTATGCAATCAAATGTTCTATGAGTAATATAAATTTAGGAGGATAGTATCAATCCAAAGTAACTTGCAAACATTGGATTTTCTTCTCCTCCAATAAAGAAAAATTATCAGGTATTAAAAAAAATAACGATTGTCATATGTAGTATAACTTTAGGATACTATATTTCGATTTGACCTTCGCGAAGATGTGCCAACAAATTCAACAAAAAACCCAAAAGCTACTGTACATAAAAAATTTTCGATCAACCAATACCTATAGTTTAAATAGTTTGAATAATTTTTTTTCTAGTTAAAGCTTTATTAATAAGGGTTTTTCTTATGGGGATGAGTTGTTAGCTCAATGTCGACCCCCCTCCTTCTTTACAGAATGAAATATGATAAGACTGTTAGTTGAAATGTCAAGAAGCTAAACGGTATGAGTAAAAGAAAACAACGTTCAAGATGTGTGACATATGATAGCATCACTTAAATTAATGTAAATTTAAGGTAAAACGAAATGATTTGTTTTTTTGCCAATGTTAGTGTTTCGAAACATGAATCCCGACCAAATGTACTTGACGATCGTGGTGAAGTACCTACAAATGTTTCACGTAATTTACCCTCGATTGTATTCTTTCTGATAAGAAAAATCACAATGAGTTGCTGTGGTATTTCTGATTTTCACAGACATGCTAGAATAGAGACTGCTTCATCGAAATAGTTTACTGTTAATAAGATGTAAACGTTGGTTATGAAAACTAAATGCTTCTACTTAGGTCAAAGTTAATGGCTTTTTCTTATTCGTAAGTAATCCATGTACTCACTGGAATTTCAGTATATCAAGAACAAGACAAAACAATAAAAATGAAGTTATATGTGGATACAATAGTCTCCAGTAATGGAGAAACATACTTTGGAACAGATGTCTGAAAATTTTTATCAACAGGAATTCGACCTTTCTCGTCCAACTTGATTCCGACATTTTCTAGACCAAGTCCACTAGTGTAAGGACGCCTTCCTATACACACTAGAAGGGTATCACAGTCAATCTAGAACAAGAAACAAGTTCGGTTTGAAGATAAACGATAATAAAATAAGAAGTCAGCTTCAATACGAATTAGAAAGTTACTTACACTTTGAGATTTACCATCTTTAGCACCTTCTAATTGTACTGTTATTGTATCACCAGATTTAGACGCGGACAAAACTTTAGTATTTAAAAGGAACTTGAGTCCCTGTTTAGTCAAGATTTTCTGAAAGTTTTTGCTTATCTCCATGTCGATGCCCATACCCCCAACATGACCAAGGAATTCCACACAAGTGACCTGAAATAAAACAGAAAACAGATCAAATGAGAATGAAAAAACTGTTTAAAATGAAATAAGCTCTCAATATGGATGTTTTGTTGAAACTGGGAAACAACAATAAGAGAGCTTATGATGAAGGCTAGAACTAGTATAAATTACTTACTTACTTACTTACGCCTGTTACCCCCGATGGAGCATAAGCCACCCACCAGTTTCCGCCAACCAACTCTGTCCTGGGCTTCCCTTTCCAGTTATGTCCAATTTTTGTTCATTCCTCTCATATCTTCCTCTATTTCTCGGCGTAATGTGTTCCTTGGCCTTCCTCTTTCCCATTTGCCTTCAGGGTTCCATGTGAGGGCTTGCCTTGTGACGCAGTCTGGTGCTTTCCGCAATGTGTGTCTTATCCATTTCCACCGTTTCTTCCTGATTTCCTCCTCCACTGGAATCTGGTTTGTTCTCCCCCACAGTACGTTGTTTTTGATCTTGTCTGGTCAACGAATCCGAAGTATTTCGCGAAGACAACTGTTAATGAACACTTGTATCTTCTGGATGATGGCTTTGGTAGTTCTCCATGTTTCCGCTCCATACAGTAGAACTGTCTTGACATTTGCATTGAAAATCCTGATTTTGGTTTTGGTTGAAAGTTGTTTGGAGTTCCAGATATTTTTCAACTGTAGAAATGCAGCCCTTGCTTTGCCAATCCGTGCCCTCACATCTGCATCGGATCCACCTTTCTCGTCAATGATGCTGCCAAGATATGTAAAGGTGTTAACGTCCTCCAAGGCATCTCCATCAAGAGTGATTTGGTTGGTGCATTTTTGCTTTTTCCTTTATGTATGTTGAGACCTACTGCTGCAGAGGCTGCTGCTACACTGGTCGTCTTCTCTTGCATTTGTTGTTGCGTGTGCGATAGAAGAGCCAGGTCATCTGCGAAGTTCAGATCGTCCAGCTGATACCGTGCTTCCCTCCAGATGTCGACGTCTTCATAAACTAGTCTATCACCAGGAGAAAGAGAAAGGGTGAGAGTAAGCAACCTTGCCTCACACCGGTCTTCACCTCGAAAGAGTGTTAGCTGTCCTTCGTGTACGATTTTGCAGTTGAATCCATCATAAGAATTCCGTATGATGTTGACTAGTTTCTCAGTCACACCGTAGTTCCATTCAATTGATTGTTCCACAATGATCCGTAATGTAGCAATTTGGTCAGTACACGATCGATCCTTACGAAATCCGGCCTGTTGATCTCGAAGTTGGGCGTCTACGAAGTCCTTCATTCTGTTTAACAAAAGGCTATTGAAGACTTTCCCTGGTAATGAAAGAAGAGTGGTGCCTCAGTAGTTGTCACACTTGCTGAGATCGCCTTTCTTTTGAATTTTGATCTTTCCAATCTGATGGTACTTGTTCCTCATCCCAAATCTTCTTGAAGAGGATGTGAATTATTTTCGCAGTTGCTTCTACATCTGCTTTCATTGCCTCTACTGGAATGTTTTCTGGTCCTGCTGCTTTGTCGCTCTTGATCTTTTTGATGGCCATACTGATCTCCTCAATCGTAGGTGCGCCAATATTAATTGGGAGGTCAGTGGATGCTGCTTCGATGTTGGATGTGTTCAGTGGAGCTGGTCGATTCAAAAGTTCCTGAAAGTGCTCTACCCACCTACTTCGCTGTTCTTCAGTGTTGCTGGTATTTCAGAAGTTGCTGTATACCAAGATGATATTCTAGTAGTCCCAGATTCCCAAACAGACCTACACTACTGCACAAAGACTGTACTGTAACACATCAAGTAAAATGGTTTTTGATTCCTGTTATATCCGGATGAAGATTGAAGTAAAAAGGAACTTGGGGAGCCAATTTACGAAATATTGATGTACAAAATCTAACTAGATATTGAATAATTAAAAAGATTTTCAGGTATGTATAATCCTTTTAGTGCCACCTTTTTATTAGAGAGATGTTAAAAGATGTAGGAAGGATTTAATTGCGGCTAATTTGGTCTCGTGTGCTGTTGCGAGTATGAGGGCGGATATCACTTCCCGGCTGGTCACACCATGGGTGTTTCTTGAGGAACCTGACAAAGAAGGTAGATTAGAGTCGGTCTAAGAGACCTGAGAGCATGACCACAGAGCCCAAGTGACAGCTGTTTGAGGCCGTCAACGCATCGCCTTTTTACAAGAAGTATCCAAAGTGTCAGCGCCACTTTTTAAGTGGTCTAACCGCCGGAGACGGGAATCTATGAGGTAAGGTGGGGTGTGACATTTTTAGGGTTGACCTTTTCTAACCCTTTCCTTCCTTGTGAGGAGGCAGTATCGCTGCAGATGCTGGTTGTCCGAGGGAAACACTTTACTGCTGTCACACCTCTCTACAGTCAGCAGTACAACTTCGCCTTCGGAAATTAAGTTGCTACTCTTAGTTTTACCGTTCTCCAGACGACCTGTCTGGCATGGAAGAACATACAGAAACACATGCTATAGCCAATGTAGCTCGGTTGGGTCATCACGATAGGCAAGCTCGACCATACCACGTCAAGGTAGCAGCTAAGTTCGGGAACCTGCCTGTTTACCCACAAATTATTTTCATACAGTTTACAGTTCCTACAGTTCCTCCTACTTACAGCTACTTTTCGCTAACTCATGTATTGTTATTATTTTCCATTTATGTATGTATATAAGAAAATGTTTTGGTTTTTGTTCCTCCTCTTCGGTTGGAGCAAGTTATTATTAGGCCGTCCTCCAAGCGTGGAATAACAAGCATCTCGTTTTTGTTGCATAGTGGCGTAGGTGAGACATCCGTCTGCTAACCAAAGGATGAGTGTACCGCGCAGCAGTTCGCTCCGTCCTACTACATGGCTGTGAAACATAGCCGGTAAGAGTTGAGGGTATTCGTAGGTTACTGGCATTAGATCATAGGTATCTCCCACGCATTGCTCGTACATACTGAGACAACTGAGTAAGCAATGCTGTTGTTAGGAAAGAAGTACTAGGCAAAGAAGACAAATCAATTGATGAAGTACTGAATCCTCATCAGTTGAGGTGGTTGGGACATGTGTTACATATGCCCAACCACCGACTGTCTCGACGAGCAATATTTTGTGATACCAGGGTAGGCTGGAAGAAAGTTAGGGGCAGTCAAACCAAAACACGAAAAAACATCCATGAAGGTCAGTGACAACTGGACTAGGCCATATTGGCCATATTTCTAGCAAACACTAATTTTAAGCATAAGGAAAAACATCTTTTGACCTGGCGACCTCCGAAGTCGTCTCAACGTTGGACACAACTAGATCATATCGCCATCAGCCACCGATGGAGGGGTTCGATAGAGGACTGTCGCTCGTTCTGGGGCACATGTTTAGATTTAGATCATGCCCTAGTGCGAGCTCGTATTTGTTTGAGGCTTACTGGACGTAGGAAAGACACCGTAAGGAAGCCTCTTAGAGCTTTACTTGATGATAACCAAGCTAAGAAAATATTTCAGGAGGAACTAGAAAAACAGTTAGGCGACCATGCAAGTGATTCCCATCCGGAGGCAGGTTGGAATCATATCAAGAAGGCTATAGAAACAGCAGTGATATCTGCTAACAAGGTAAACCATAAGGCTAGGATGAAGCCGTGGATTTCAGTCGCATCCACCGAACTGATGGATGCTCGGAAACGTATCCCACCTGACTCTGAACATGATGAAGAGCGTAGTCAGCTTAGGCGCAGACTTATAAAAAGCCTACGTAACGACCCCGAACAGTGGTGGGTGGCGAAAGCAAAAGCGATGGAAAAGGCAGTGGCGATAGGCAACACTAGACAACTTTTCCTCCTTATTAAAGAAACCGGTATTAGGAACCCGAACGTGAGTGAGACTATCTCGGAAAAGGATGGTCTTATTATCCATTCTCAATCCAGGAGACTGAACCGATGGGCAGAACACTTTAGGGATCAGTTCAACTGGCCTCGAGCCACACTTCGGTTGCCCACGATCTCCAGTCATCCTGAATGGCAAATCGATTTAAGTCCTCCCAGTCTACATGAAGTTGAGAAAGCTATAGGAAATCTAAAGGGAGGTAGAGCAGCAGGTCCTGATAGGCTTACCCATGAGATGTTTAAGGATGGTGGTCCAGTTTTAACAGTTAGACTGACCGAGATCCTAGGTAGAATCTGGGAACTGGATGTAATCCCATCCGATCGGTCTCAGTCGCTAATTGTCCCAATCTACAAGAAAGGACAAAAGTCCTCTTGTGACAATCACAGGGGAATAAGTCTAACTAATATAGTTTGTAAATTGTTGGCCTCGATTATACTTAGACGTCTAACTAGAGCTCGTGAAGAGCAGACTCGAGAAAACCAGTCTGGTTTTCGACCTGGACGTGGTTGTATAGACCACATCTTCACACTACGACAGGTCCTGTAACACAGACACATATTTAGACGTCCGACAATAGTCGTGTTCCTGGATCTAAAAGCGGCATTTTACTCAGTGGATCGTGATGTTCTGTGGCAGTGTCTGTCATTGAAAGGTGTACCAAAGAAACATATAAACCTCATACAAGCTCTCTACTCGAGCACTACAGGTCTTGTGAGAGCTAATGGCGAACTGTCACCGGAATTCTTTACTTCAAGTGGTGTCCGTCAGGGATGTCCACTCTCTCCATTCTTGTTTAACTTTGTCGTAGACGTCCTCTTAGAGTTAGCATTAAGCTCGTCAGATTTTTCAGGGGGTTGACCTTCTACCAGGAAAGTCGCTTACTGATCTAGAATATGCCAATGACATAGTTCTATTCGGTGAGGACGCTGACAAAATGCAGAGTCTTCTGACTACCCTAAGCAACAATGTAAGCATGTTCGGGATGCGGTTCTCACCCTCGAAATGCAAAATATTGCTTCAAGACTGGGTTTCATCGGCACCTGAACTAGTGATAGGGAGTGAAGTAGTCGAACGTGTTGACCGCTTTACTTATCTTGGGAGTCTCATCAGCGCTGATAGCCTGGTGACTGACGAAATCTCAGCTCGGATACAGAAGGCTCGATTGGCTTTTGCAAACCTGCGTCACTTATAGCGTAGGCGTGATATCCGTTCGCTAACCAAAGGACGTGTGTACTGCACAGCAGTTCGCTCCGTTCTCCTATATGGCTGTGAAACATGGCCGTTAAGAGTAGATGTTCGTAGGTTACTAGTATTCGATCATAGATGTTTAAGAAGCATTGCTCGTATATCGTGGGACAGCCGAGTAAGCAATGCTGTCGTTAGGAAACGAGTACTAGGTAAGGATGGCAAATCAATGAAACTTCATTAGTTGAGGTGGTTGGGACATGTGTTACGTATGGCTAACCACCGACTGCCTCGACGAGCTATGTTTTGTAGTGTAGGAGTAGGTTGGAAGAAAGTTAGGGGCGGCCAGACCAAAAGATGGCAGAAATCCATGAAGTCACTGACAAGTGGACTGAGTCATGTTGGTAGATGTAGACTACCTGGTTGGGGTCAGCGAGACGAAAGTCACCAATGGTTAGAGACCTTGAACGACATGGTTCAAAATCGTTTGCAATGGTGCAAGTGCATCCATTGTTTGAGCTCTCTCAAATCCTAATCTTCTGGATTCGTCAGCACCCCTACCTTTGTCTCTCTAACCTTATTTCACTCAATTATACTTCTTGAATAATATCTTCGAACCCAAGTCTTCTTCATTACTATTAATACCTCTACTATCTTTATCACTATGGGATTTGATTTGACATTTGCGTCTCTGTGCTCATGTGGTATGGCAACATGAACTTATGTACACACGTACGAAGTTCTACGTTGCAACTGACTGACTGACTGGTGGATATAGACTACCTGGTTGGGGTTCACAAGACAACAGTTATCGATGGTTAAGCACTTTGAATGACATGGATCAAAATTGTTTGCAATGGCGCAGGTGCATACATTCTTTGTGTTCTCCCAAATTCTAATCTTTTGAAATCCTCATCACCTTAATTTTTCTCTTCTCAAATTTACTTCACTGGATTATACTCCTTGAATAATATCTTCAAACCCTAATTTTCCCGATTACTGCTCATACTTCTACTACCTTTGCCACTATGGGATTTGAATCGACAATTGCATCTCTGTGCTATCGTGGTATGGCATCTTGAAATGATGTACGTACGTACGAAGTTCTACGTTGTTATTGACTGATTATCAATCACAAAGACGTGCATTATCAGAGCATACAACATCAAAAAGCAATATACTGCTGGAACCACTGGTAAAAACACATTTAATCCACCACAGCACCCGAACATTAGAGGAAAAAATAGAAACGGCATCTTCAGAACATGTAGACCTAGGTCCTAGATAGTTGATCCGACAACGGTGTTAGACGTTTTAACTCCAAGTGAACCTAAGGGAATTACACCCTTAAAAGAGGAATCACTGAGGGTTTACAACTAATTAGAATAAAATTCTGTTGCAGTAGATTATTCGGTGAGCGCTATCCACGAAATTTCAATACATTTTTACGACAGTTTGTGTTAATAACAATCACTCCGTTTAATTATTCTGATACATAATCAACAAACTCAATGAATTTCGATCTAATATATTACGTCGACACCGAGTAGCTTCATCTACAATGCTCTTGTTTTCAATCTAGTTACCGGGTTAAGGAAAAAAAGGACAGAATGATTTTGTTGACAGTATCGAAGTCGGAGTTGCAAATTATTGGCAAAGTACACGAATATATTATGCACTTTCGAGCGAAATTTCATGTAGACGTATCTATCGTACGAGACAAGTTTATAAATGCCAGTCTGATGTTTTGTAATCCCTATAAGATTTTTTTCGGTCAATATTTAACTGCATAAATACTTAAAGCGATTATTATTCTCAATCATACGTTGAACAAGATTCCAATAAAAATGAACGCTGGATTATTATATCTGAAAAGTCTAATTACGTTTAGTTTAACATAATTTTTCAGATTAATGTATCAAAAAATTTTACATGAAGGTTTGCGATTCTGTAACTTTGAACTGTCTGCTTATAATAACAGGATAATAAAAGCTGCATAATAAATGGATTGAACCCTATGTGTATATTCTCTATGTGTAACACGCGAAGGATTATTTATTTAAAACCCTCAGATATTATTCGGATAGTCTACATATGCATACATGTGATCAAGATAAATAATCGTCACAATCAATCAATCAATAGCAACGTAGAACTCCGTACGTACGTGCACCAGTTCATGTTGCCATACCACATTAGCACAGAGATGTAATTGTCAATTCAAATTCCATAGTAATAGAGATAGTAAACGTATTATCAGTAATCGGAGAGATTAGGGTTCGAAGATATTATTCAAGAAGTAAAATCTAGTGAAATAGATTTAAAAAGATAAAGTGATGAATTAAAAAGTTTAGGATTTGAGAGAACACAGAGAATGAATGCACCTGCACCATTGCAAACAGTTTTGAGCCATGTCATTCAGGGTCTCCGCCTGCAGACCCTTCGGGGCTACTGCCGGTCCCAAACCCGGGTAAAGGAGGAGGGTTGAGATGTGGGTTGGCGACCCCATCCAGGAAAAAACTTACTTGCCAAAAAAACGTGAGTCGCAAGGGTACATTTACAGTTTATATTTGGGATATCGAAGATAAATCAGAAAATATAATAAACACGAGAGAATTAAGCACAAAGTCGTGTAAACAAACATTTAGACGATGTAGGAAATCTTGGAGTTTTGACTCATTAAGCAGTGAAATCGGTTCGCGTTATTTGCCGCTAGGTTAGATAAGCGTATGATCTGAAGTACGGTGATAAAAAATTGATAGAAAGATATACTACAGAGGTGACCTGACCCAAAATTATATTTCTTTTGACCGAAAACCTTGACTTTTTCAGCAAGTAAGAATCTGTGGTAAATTTGATAAAAAAGATCAAAACAATATACAATAGTCATTACTGTAAAGGCTTACTTCGGCGCCTAATCGCTTCCATACAGAACCTAATTCAACACCGATAACGCCAGCCCCGATAACTACAAGGTGTTGAGGGACTTTAGTTAGTGATAACGCGCCAGTGCTTGATACGACAGACTGTTCATCGATCTCAATCCCAGGGAATGGAGTAACTTCGCTACCTGTTGCGATTAGAATCCGTTCAGTTGCAATCCGTTCTTCACTTCCGTCTCCCTTTTTGACCAAAACTTCGTTAGGGTTAACTATAGAACCGAAACCATTGACATGATCAACCTGAATTAGAATGAATAATAAGATTTTTGAAGCTGACATTCTACAAAATAATGATGTATGTGACTACTTTATAAGGTAACTTCTAGCAGGTACCATTCAATAACGCTGTGGAAATCTCAGAAGGTTTTACTCTTAAAAGCGGTCTACAGTTTTCATAAACAGAACAGATTA